AGTCAGGAGAGTTATTAATCGTAAACTTCTCCCAAAAATGTTGTCTAGTAAATATAATAGATAGTATATAAACCATTTTTATTAACAAGTAAGCTTCTTAAAAAAAATTATTGTCTGTGACGTGCAAGTATACAGATAAGAACTCTAAAATACCATGGTATCTAGTAATTATATTAGATAATATAAATCATTTTTTTTAACAAGAAAACTTGAAAATCTCTCATTTAATAAAATGTCCCTGACGGTCAACTATAAAGATAAAGACTTCTAACATAGCCTTGCATATTTTTCATTTAAAAAAAGGTTGAAAAATGTTTCTGACAAAAAAAAAAAAAATCCGTTTGTGACGTGAAAGCGAATAGACAATAAAAAAATTTCTTTATGTTTCGCATGTTTCATTAAAAAAAAGCCTGAAAAACATTTTTAAGAGAAAATTCTTGGTTCTCGTTGTGTGCAAACGAATTAATGAGAAAAGGGACATAAAATATACATACAGGTTGTCCATAAAGTCTCTTTACAATTTCAATTTTGTTTTAAAAAGTTTATTATTAAGAAGATTCAATACATCTTAACCAGATTTGTTATTTTCAATCAGTGGTTGTTCAAGTATTTTTACTTCATTTAATACATCTGTGAGGGTCGAAACAATATACGGTATCGCTAAAATCCCTATGCATTTTAAAAAAATTTCAAGACTTCATTGACACCCTAAATTTTCATATTTATTCTAGGGGGAGTTCGTATTGCGAACCACGGTCTCTCGTCCGGTTACCAGTCTATGTTGGGTATAGGATTAGTAAGGTAACATATCACTCAATCACACAAAATTACTGTTAAATTAGGTTTAAATTTACTAATTATTTGATATAGTAACTGGCGCCGGTTAAGTTAAAGATAAAATCATTGCTGTCCCGTTTGTCCCATGTTATGTCATAATCAGATTGTTTCGTCACACTTGACAGAACAGTTTTTTCCGACGAAGATGGTTTTCGGAGATAATACGATACATGTAGTTGGGATCACGTTTTGAGATTGATTTTTTGAAAAATAAAAATTTACCAACGCAAAATTTAAGAAATAAAGAGTTAATGGGCGCGTCTGGCAGGTATATCGCTGTTTTTTGAAATCTTACAGAAAAGAAGTTTTTGGACTTAATATTTACATATCCTATCTACCCCATCAACCCATTCACCTTTCTTTGGGGGGGGGGACTCAAAGCGGCGCCAAATTTTCAATAACGTGACGCAACCTTGACTAAGTCATGCATTATATTGAACTATAATCAACTTTAATTTTACATTTCTCAACCGTTAAGTGTCTCTAATACAACAAAGAGTTCACAACAAACTGTCATTAGATATCCTGTCAGCGACAAAAGCAGGAAAACAATATGTATTTTTATCCATGTGAGTGACTTTTCAGACTGTCGGTTCAGAGTTTTATGCTTGATGGGGAAAAATCTTCCAAGGGCAACACTAGATGTGGCCCGCGGGCCGCCTGTTGCACACTTCTGCTCTATGTTGACATTGCAGGTTCATATCTCGAGTCATTAAAAATTTATAATCCGCGCCGAATTTTAAATAAAGTCACACAACCTCGACTTGGTAGTTCATTATATTGAACTATAATGAAATTTTCTATATTTCCCAGCCGTTAAGTGCTATCTGATCAAAACAAATGGATTGGCAACACGCCAAAATTCACAACAGACTGCCATTAGATACACCCTTTTATCTGTTTTGCCAATTTTTGAACGGTAATTGGTTCTGGCTGTCTTCCAATGTTATCTATAACAAATTCTTGCTTTGATTTTAGATGCCAAGTTCATTAGTCTTCGTGGCATAAGAGTGCGAAGTGACTTTCACTGAGAAATATTTTCAAAAAATATATATTTGCTATATTAAATTGGTTGGAACAGAGGCCTAGTGCTTAAGCAAGGGTGTGCGACATTTTTCGTCGGCGGGCAATATAACCGACTTCAGACATCTAGCTGGACTTCACAAACAAATTAGTTGTTCCATGTACGAAACGAATTACAGTAATAAAGTCAACGGGAAAACGGCGAAAGATTTTAAACATCGAAAAAACCAGAAAAACATTTCGCATTTTTACTCACATGAGCGACTTCACATAAACTTTAGCGTGTTGACAAGGGACACAAGGACCACACTATTTTACACGTTTAAACTGTTTCTAGTGCTTGGGCGTAATGCGTCATCATTATTCTGTATAGTTTAAGTAGCTATTCTTATATTAGGAGTCGTCAGTATCTTCGCGCAGAAGTGAATCTCTTTTACATCTGAATGAGTTCACTTCACCTCATTTTTTTTAAAGTACGCCTCAACCCACCGATACCTTTTACTTGAGCAAATTAACATACAACATTTATACAGTATTTCCTTTATCTATAGCCAGAATCTGAAACCGTACCCCGCTACTGTATAATCAAAAATAATGGCGCTCATGAGTATGAAATATTACAGTTATAGATAAAACCATAAGTCCAAACACCTGTGGTCTTATCCAAACCATTTGTGATACAATAATGAAGTGAAATTTGAAACCGCAGCGATAAAGACAGGTGTTATTCGGACAGGCTATTTTTTAAAGGATTGTAGAATTTAAGAATGGAAATAATAGGCGTTTTTATACCTATTTTACAGATAGTATTTGCTATTATTTCTGAATGATTTACTGAAATATTCTGCGTAAGATAAGTCAAACGGAACCAAAAAAGGTTCTGTCCCTTCCTGAAATAAACAGGTGTTATACGAACAGGTCATTTATACTTAGAGCATTGTAGAATTTAAAATTGGAATTAATGTGAGTTTTTTGTAATTTTTTTTAACATGGAAGTTATTATTATCTTACCTGAATAGACTCCGTAAGATAAATTCAACTGAACTGACTATAAATTTTGTAGGCGATGCCGGATCGAAGAAAGTCCGGTCTTTTCTGAAATAATAGTATTTTTTCAAATATCAGCAAATTAAGGATCAGCATATCAGTCAAAATCAAGGAATTTTTAAAGGGGTAGGGGGCGGGCATTGGGGGTGTTCTGAAATTTCTAATCTCCAAGTTACACCTAACAGGTAGCGCGTATGCGCTTATGCTATGTTTAATACAGAAAAAATGCTTATTATGCAGACTTTTTTGGTACTCCTGAAGTATGCGCACCTGAACCCTAACCTGAACCCTAACCTGGTACACAACCTGAGTTCAGGTTGTGCGCCATCTTGGTGCGCATACTTCAGGAGGTCCCTTTTTATACTTTAAAAAGGGGGTTCGACCTCAACCCCATACCCCTCCTACTGGGCACGCCCCTTGTTCGGGGTGAAAATCATGTAAAAATATTATAATAGGTATAATAGGTTTCTTTCATCGCCTCTCTAGCAGTTTCCAACCTTTTAACGTTACTTGATCCACCAGACAGCCTTGGCATTGACTCCGTGAACTAGTAAATCTCAGATACGTGATAAGATATCACGAACGGTCTGTTTATGTTTCAAAATATTTCTGTTTTCTGATTTGACGTTAGATCGTTATGGGTGACATTCGTGATTTTTAATAATTGATTCAGCGGTTCCCTAACTATAGGTCGCGACCCACTGGTGGGTCGCAAAAGGAATCTTCGTGGGTCGTGAAAAGATGTAGAAAACTTTGATTAATCATATTGGTTATTAGGATCGGTGGCGACTCGAATACGTAAATCTTCAAAACAAAAAAACAAAAAAAATTGAATTGAATTTAAAATCTAATCTGTTAAAGTTTTATTTTTACGATCTTCTCAAAGAAACAAAAATTTGCTACACAAAGAATGACCATGTGGCTTTTTTAGGCATAACAGTTTTGTACACTGTACAGCACTTCTTACCGTGTTCCCCCTACATTTGAATTTTATTAATTTATTAAAGTTAAAGGACTATAAGAAAATTTCAAGAGATCAATATTTTATGTTTTCAACATTTGTGTATTGGTGGCGAGTGAGGTCTATCGCTCTTAATGATGGAGGCCAAGACCTTTTCTAAACGGCGCATAAATTTTGTTTGCAATTTGCTGGTTGAATTATGATAAAAACACTGTTAGAAAAATCGTTAAATCGCGAAAAATTTACGTCACAAAAGCAAAAAAGACATTATTTATTCTACCCATGTAAAAGCCTTTTTAAACATAAAACGTTAAATAGAATTTTATTCTTAATGAGAAAAAATCTGAGTTTTGCCAAGGATCACACTGAATGGCTTGAAGAGCTGGGTTCTGGCTCACTAACTTCCTGTTGCACACCCTTGATTTATATATTTGAGTATTTTTTAGGCAGTGTTGAACGCATGATGGTTATAATCTATATACTTGGTGACCGTACATTTGAACCCAGGTACATTTGAACCCATGTGTAAATCCACGGGTTCAATCTATATGCGGGTGCTAAAACCCATGGGTTAGGGTTAGTATGGGTTCAAATATCCGTAAAACAAAAAAAAATTCCATAGGTGCAATAGTATGCAGGTGCAATTGTCGTGGGTTCAGATGTACGTAGTTCAAATGTACATGGGTTCAAATGTAATGGAACCTATATAGTTATATACTTATAAGTATATATTATATACCTATATACTTTTTAGAGTTGGGACCCACTATATATTACCACAGCTTAAAGGCAACCCATTTAATGGTATAGGACATTGGTTGCCAACTTTTTTTTCAAGCAAACCAAATATTTAAAAAAAAAATTTTTGTAAAATATCGCGACTCAATGATTGAAACTCTTTTTAGACTCAGGACACCTAAACACCCACGTTTCCGCTGACTGTGACGGTCTTACTTGGAAATTAAAAAACTCCCCTCCCCCTTCCCCCCCCCCCCCAATTGAAAATTCCTGGTTACCTGGCTAGGATGCTTGATGAAGTCTTGTTCAGAGCAAAACTCATTATAAAAACAATACGGGTTTGTTAAGAGATATTAATATAATTAATATAATGTATATTTCTCATATTTTTCAGATGTAACAACAGAACCCAATGTTCATTTGAAGTTTCAACAGCAAATTTCCCCGACCCATGTCCGGAGACGCATAAGTACTTGAAAACATCGTTTAACTGTGTTAAATATAGTAAGTGAAGCATTTTATATATCGCAAGTAGGGCTGGGCATTTTCGAATATATGATGAGATAGAATATGGAATGAAATGGAATCGAATATTTTTTCGAATCGGATTGAATGTCGAATACTTGGAGATATGTAGGTTTATTGACTGCTTTATTGTTATGGATCTTTCAAGCACATAAATTAGTTAAAATACTTAATCTATCCCTCAGACAGTTCGCTGAGTGTTCACACACAGTGAGAAACTTGTTTCACTAATAACTTACTCAAAAAAAAAAAGATTTATACGTCAGAATTGCATTTAAAAATTTGGCATGATCATGGTCATCACATATGGGATTCGGGCCTTATCCTCAGCCAACGATAATAAATAGTGCGGCGGTGAACATCGTACAAACGTGAGAATTAGCAAAGGCCAATTGCCAATGTTTTGGGGTCGTTAAAGATATTTTCTTATCCACTCACTTTTTACACATTTTCACCCAAAAGTGCTTCCAGCATGACTCTTTTTAATCAACATATTTAATAATACTATCAATTCAGCTATTGTGACAAAAAAATCTTGAATCGCCATTTTTAGATATAAGGTCTGAAACAAAATTGTCCTGCAAGTCCTCATAAATTAGGATCGCGCTTTTCCAAGTTAGAGTATTGATAGAGTTTCAAACAGTTTCAAACATTCATTGACAAAGTAAGAACTACGTTTATGTGCAAGTTTGCTCAAAGCAGGGTTCGAGCCCTCAACTAAAATTGGAGTGAAATTCAGTACTGATAACAGAGTTGCAAACACTGGGGGCCTATATATAACTTAATTTATCCGTGCTACAAAAAGTCTATTGTTGGCAACGTATATCCCACAAAAATACAAACACAAATAATTTTTTGTTAAAAGTGAATTTTAGCACACACAATCTCATTGTAATCACTTTGCCACCACACTCGGCCAAATTTTACCATAATTTTCTTAATTAGTCTCTCGATCGGGGTATTCTTCCTAAAAATTAACGTCTCCTCGACCTTATTTGTGTCCGAATCTTGACGCAATATTGATTAAATGTCCCAGATAGTCAAATTAAAAACATTAGGGCTATCTGAAGTAAATATAATTAAGCAGCGGAACTTGAATTTTAATTTTAAATTAGTCCGATGGGGCCTTTGGTTTGGGATAACAGGAAAGCTTTTTGCGGATAATCGTGAACTCTAGTTGGCCCTCGCATGAAAAATATGTCAATTTAGAATTTGATGGCCATTTTGTGATATAACGTTTCTTATCAGATCTTTTGTACAATGCCTCTACCCCTGATGCAAAAAAATGTGAGATTTGAGAAAAAGAACTCCGCTACGTTTTGAAATAACAAAATAGTAATTGTCCAGTTAGGGTTAGAAATGGTTTAAATATTCCAGCTCAATCTGCATTTATAAATCTAACCCTAGCTGGATATTTACTCATTTTTTCATTTTGAGGTTTGACGGGCTGTTTTTTGACGGGGGTTTGTACCAAAGATCTCAGTTGTATACTATGATTGTAATTCACATACTAAATTGACTAAATGTGATAGTTTACGTGCAATGACCATTTTTGTTAGTTTCATACATCGGTGCTCCCGAAGTATGCGAACCAAGATGGCGGACATCGGAACGTAACATGGGTAACAGGTTAGGGTTAGGCGATAATTTTTTTCCAATTTTCCCTATTTTAGTCCTATTATCAGTTCGAAGACTAGCCAAGAGCCTCCCGTAGTATTTATACCTAAAATTATGGCCTAACCCTAACCTAGTACACATATTACATTCCGATGTCCGCCATCTTGGTTTGCATACTTCGGGAGCCCCCATACATCCTTGTTCAAATATTGGGTAATATAGGCGTAGAACTCCAAATATTTGACCTCCGACGCCAAAATAATTATTTTGTTTTGGTAATCCCAAAATATCAAAAAAAGCTCAGTTTTAAACCCTTTGGCATGCGCTGTTCTTTTCTGGTTTTCAATCGTTCGAAGCGACCTTTTACAGTCAAATTTAGGTAATCCTCCTTCTAAAGGGTTCAAGTTTCGGTACCAGGGTCGTAACCAAGAGGGAAGTTGAGTGCCGGACTTTTTCAAAATCTAAAAAAAAACATTTTTCTTCATCATACATGGCAATTTGATTTTTCGGAACTCTATAACCTTGAATATCTACATGCTGTTACGGCCTAACTCGACAATTGGAAAATTTTTGGCCACACCCCTGCTTTCGGATACCAAAACATAAAAGTTATGTTTAGCTAACTCCTTGGAATGCACTACACCTCCATAACAAATCCAACCTAATACTCGTTACAATTCTTCCCATTTACAAAAACAACATAATTACACACAATTTCAAAATATCAAAGAAAGCCGCGATGATTGACAGTCAAAATTACTAAGAATAACTTCAAAGCCAATAATTCTATCGATAAGCGTTTGCTGTTCAAGTTTTATTGAAGAAATAACGTAATTATTTGCAAAGAAGACAAATTCTAGTAATAGCCATTACGTAGCCATTAATTCTTTAAGGCAGTGGTTCCCAAACTTTTTGTAAGCGTTACCCCTAAATTGAATTACCAAAAGCTCAATTACCCCTTTTCATAAAAACAAAATTTTTCAGCGTGCAATTTATTAAATTTAACAGCAACAGTAAGTTAACATAATAATCCGGTCAGATCTTTTTAACGGAACAAAAGTGAACGGCAGACAGCATTTCACTGCCTGGCTCGTGCTGAAACAATATTCTCTAACTTAATGCAAACACTGAACGACCAGTTTTTCCGCAGATCAGCGAAAAAGACAGTAATTAAAAAAATATTGCCAATATTGAACGTCTGCATTACCCCATAAAATTGTCAAATTACCCCTTTAAGTGTATTTACCCCCAGTTTGGGAACCACTGCTTTAAAGGGGAGGTCCTAAAATTTGTAATTGTCGAGTTGGACCGTAACAACTAAAACTAATGGGATATCAAGAGTCTTTAGGGTTTAAAGAGCTATTCAAGCTACAAAAAAATACTATAAAAACACGGAAATATATTTTTTTACATTTCAAAAAGCAAATCGGAGGGGTTATCATTTTCATAAAAGTTGTATAACGTCTCACTGAAATTTTAAGTTTTTTTACAGTATAAAATTTTTTTTGATATGGACTCGAGGCGTCAATAGTTTGTCTTTATATCAACAAGAACAACTTCTAACCCAGCTCGGAATATCGAAAAGAATATTTTGATCAAAATATCTATTCATTTCTTTGACAAATTTTTTTGTTTTGTTTGTTTAGATGTTTTGAATCTCTAAGCAACCTTGTACACAAAAATCAAGCCCTTTTTAAGTTAAAAATTGAATATAAAACCCAATTTAACTTTTTAGAATTTAAACTTTATCTTTGCAATGCTCTGATGTCCTGGTTTTGGGTTCAAATCCCATACTAAGAGACTACAATAGTCGTACTTGACAAGATATAGGCGCACAACGATACGGGATTAACAATTTCATAACCGGCTTGTCTGTGTCCCTAGCATCGCTCCTACTCGTTCAAATAAAAAAAAACTTATGGAAAAATTATTAAGCAAACTTTTGCATACATAAATTGAATCGGAAAACTTTTCAATTTGTCAGTGTTCGGATGTTCTGGTCTTGGGTTCAAATTCCATACCAACCGCTCACGTTGAAAACAACTTTTTATTTTCCAGTGTTCGGATGTCCTGGTTCTCTGACTGGAATTGGATCCGAAATCGTGACCGCAGTTGAAATTCAACCTCAGTCTGGAACTTGGACAAAAGATCCGCTTTCGAGTCCAGATCACGTGTTTTTCATGTCTTCCAGTCAACAAATAATACAGGAATACCGGAATTGGGATGATTTTGTAACCGGAAATCCTTCATATCGGTATAATTTGCCTTCAAAAGCAGCCCCGGGAAATATCGTCGTATATGACAGGAATTTATATTATGTAAAGGTAAGTGCATTTACTGAGTTGCTTTATGTAGTGCACCACTTGCATCGCTTGTCGTACTTCCACCATTTGTACTTCTTTGTAGAAGTTTAAACCGTGCAAATTGATGCGTCGTTTATGAAAGAAATTTATATTATGTAACGGTGGTATTTTGACACGTCTTGGAAATGTCGTAACCGTAGTTTTAAATTCAAAACTAATGGTATGCTTGAAGGTTGAAAAAGTCAATCCTGTTAAATTGTGTAAATCAATTTTTGTAACTTGTAACTTGCATATTGCGTATTTGATCTAAGTAAACCTAAATTCTAACCTGGTTCAAATTGAAAAATACCTCAGAAATTGCAGAAAATCTAGTTAATAAACCCATGCGGCTTACAAATATTTTAACTTCATATTTTTCAAGTCGCGAGGTCATTCTGAGGAATTCAACAATGCCGGCATTAACGCGACAATACTAGACTTAATAGTATAAGTTTGCCACGGTGTCACGCGTTAAGACGAAAAGTAAATATTATGTGATAAATTTCAAAGGCGGTAGTGTTTGGTTAAGTGTTGAAAGGCTTCGGTTGTTGGGTTTTTCACACTTTTTCACAGAGCAAGGTTTTGGAAAAGCGGTAGTTATTTTTAATATTAATAGGCACGAAGTAGACCTGTGAATCGTTTTGTTATTATGCTGTTGTTGATCATCATTTTGTTAGTATTCTTCATAGACTACTGGAGCAATTACTTTGAAAATCTTCAGTGGCTGTTTATTTTTAAAAGTTCTATCGTTTCTATAGATCACTTTTTTTGTGCGATTACGTCATCAATTCTTGTGCACTCTGTGGCGATAAATTCTTGTTAGTCGTGAAATTTGGGGTACGTTTTGGACGCACTGCTTTCATGAATGTTTTGCTTCTTAATTAGCAAGTAGTATCTATTACACAATATTCTATTATTTAAGAAGCGTTGAGATCTTAGCCGTAATCTACCCAGTTAAAAAGACTTTAAAGAGGAATATATATTATTCTGACCACACGCACTTACTCAAAAGTTAAGGAGACTCATTTCTGGGAAAAGTAACGGGCAATCACCAGAATGCCAAGACCCGCACAAACTATATAGATTTACAATGGTACATTACGCGCCTAGAGCCAGAGCTACTGACACTATACAGATATATGTGGCGCATTACCTGAGAGTAATTCTTTCATTTTAAGCCTCGTCTCCGCAAATCTTTTCCGCAAATATATTGCTATCTAATTATTCCTCATTATGCGATTATGTTTTACAATTCGTCGGGGAGGTCGCCTGACCCAAAGGATTAAAAAGGGTTTCGTATTTCAGTCTGGCTTTTCACACATATTTTACAGATAAGTAAATTGAACATTGTATGCATTTTTGCTCATCTTTTGGCGCTCCAGAAGTGTGTGTACCAATATGGAGGTAACTAATTTTGTTCGCATACTTTACATCCAGTTGTTTAAAGGGACTGAAGCCTATGGACAGAGGGTATATTCACTTGTCTATAACACAGACAGTCTTGAACTTGTAATAAAACTAAAATACGGAAAATCGAAAATAATTATGGCCTAACCCTCCCCTTGTACACATACTGCGGGAGTACCAAAAAGTATGGTCTCAAACATTCCACTGAAATTAAAAAGAGTAGTGAATAACTAGCAATAACAGACACGCCGATTTCTGGTAAATTTTGGTAAAATGTATTTCAAATCCTCAAGTAGTTCAGGTAACCGAATATGACTCAGGTTATCATTGAAGCGTGATGATAACGTAATTCAAAATCTCTGACTGCAATTTCGCATGACGAGAGATATATGATATTGATAGGGATATATTTTCTCTCTCGATATTGTTGAAATTTTGTAACCGAAATGAAAACATTTCAATGCCCCATAAATTGTAGCTTACATATCGGTGAATCTTCGTTTATAAAGAACGTTTAAAACTTTTCATTAAATAGGAGTTGATAGGGCATGCTTGAATCAAGCATGTCTTCTTTGTTAACATGCGCGGTATTTAAAAAAATAATGTAACCTGAACATTTCGTATACCCAGTTCAAGGTAACAAATGAAAAACCCTCACTAACTTGAATTTTACTATTTATTACTGACATTTTAATACGTTTTTAACTCCATACAAGGCACAATGCAAAAGCAGACACTAGTATCTAGGGAGCTAATTTATTTGGGGATCATCGAAATATTTTTGGTTCGAAATTTACCACCCAATTTGTTACACCGCATCGTGGGTGAGGCTGTCGGTATGCGACCCCAAGATTTTATCAGTATGTCTTACTAATTTTACCAGGTCTTATAACAGTAAATGTTTTTCAGGCAAATTCCCGCAGTATCATTCGATACAGTCTGATCACCCAAAGACGAACAAAAGAAACTGTTATACAGGCAGAATCCGGCATCCCTCAGAATCGTGATATCTCCTTATCAGTAGATGAGAATGGACTATGGGTTATCTATCCACGACAAAGAGGCCTTATCGCTATCAGTAAACTTGACAAAGATCAGCTAACTTTATCGGTAAGCTTCATTATCTATGTACATAAATGGTACTCATAGGCTGGGATTTTATTATTTGGTTTGCTCCGACGACAATCCACTCGTATTTATTTATTTATAATCGACTATGCTATGCTTCTGTGTCAAACTATGTATGATACGGATTATTTTACATTTCAAGGGGGTGGGGGTCATGGGCTTGTTTGACCCCTCTCTGGCTATGTCTCTGAAAATACTGTTAGAGTAGTTGCAGGAACAATGTGCTGGGATCCACTTGTTAACCCTGTGGTCACTTTTCTGACACCCATTGCTTGAATCTCGCAAACTCAAAGGAATCGATAGGTCACGCTTTCGCGGTCTGTATTCATACTGAAAATTCAAATCAAGTGAGCTTTTGCCCTTTTGCTCTACGCAAGGTTTCCGTCCTTGCTGAGCTCACCTTAGGACACCTGCGTTACTCTTTGACAGATGTATCGCCCCAGTCAAACTCCCCGCCTGAAACCGTCTTCAGAGCGGATAGCCGGCAACCGAACGCCGCCGGCTCCATACACCAGAATAAATACATATGACATTTTTACATTGGTGTAATCACGGGACACCCGTTCCAACCAACAAAAAAGAACTGTGAATCAAAATAATGGCCCTAAAACCAGATCTATAGCCTGTATCGGAGCCACGGTGATCCATGGGAGAAACCTAGGAGATATTGTGAGCTATTTGTTTATCAATTGAAATGCTCGCTTGGCTAATTTTGTAGCTTTCTAAATAAGCAATAAATACATTCCAGTCATTAAATAAAGTATTTCACTCAAGAACATTTACCGGTGAGAATGTATTTTTTTTGTTTTTATTTTTATGAATTTATTGTGAATCTCCGTAAATAATAGTCAACCACTTCACGAGTCCATAACATCAAAAGTTTGACTACCCCTGGTCAAAGGTACACGTTTTGATAAATTGGGTCAAAGTAAAAATATTTTTCAATTTTCCTAATAAATAAAACCTTTGGTGCTCGCCCAACAAAAAGTAACCACCGAAACGAGGCCAGAATTCCATTATAATATATCGGAGAATTCCAAATTTAACATTTTGTCGTATGGCATTTTTATAAGTGCAAATTATTTTTTGGGCTCATGAATAAATTATATTAAAATGTCAGAATTGACTTGACGATCAGTACGTATTGGGATTCGACACTCCCACCACCAATACAAGAGATTCCAAACGCATATGGTATCTTCTGCTAAAGCCCTTTAATTGGCGCTCATAATCTTGAGACTTGGGGGCTGAGGGGCCTTGGGGCTAAGGCCGGATTGTGCCCTTTAAATACACTAAGCACTTAAGACTTTGTTGCCCTAAGTTTGTCGTTCGAAATATTAGAGCAATAAGCTACAAAATATAGTATTGTAACGATAAGTACATATATGACACTTTCACCGTCATAAGAAAGCTTTGTATATATGACCGCATATGTAGTCTTTCGACAATGACATTTAATGGGTGCTTAGAATCCTGGGGCTAGGGGGCTTAGTACGGATAAGACACTCCCGCCATTAAAAGAAAGCTTTATATATCCAATTATATATTGCTTGGCGGCTCAAAGCCTTAGGATTTAGGGTATTTGAACTTTCACATTGAAACATTGCTTCGAGGCGAGTGAATATTACTTATGACAATACGAGTTGTCGTCTGCAACTGTGAGTATTTTTCCGCTCCTGGTTGATAGATCGGGACCCATCTTTCTTCGAACTTCCCCTATTTCTACTATCAGGTCATTCAGAAAAATTACATAAAAAAATAAAATTGGCTCTGTAATAATTTTTGAAATCTTTTTACTCTGTTTGTATTATATTTCATTTAATTACCTCATGAAAACCAATCCTGTTAGTTAACTTACGCATAACATATTCAAGAGGTCCCATTTAATATTATGATTCCAAGCATCAGAATCAAGACGTCACGTTTTGTATTATGACAACTTAGTGATGATGATGACGTCAATATTGATAAATTTGACGTCACAATAGATATAAGTTTAATTTTACAAAAAATTGTTTTGTACAATTTGACGGCTTCAATAGGCCGTGAACAACTAGTTTACTAAGCTGAAAGAAATGTATCGATCAATTAAATCTGTTTTATTTCAATTCAGAAAACTTGGAACACGAACCTTCGAACATCCGAATCACTGCACACCTTTATCATATGCGGAGTTCTATATTCTGTCAGTTCGTCGACTGGACAAATAGACTATTTTTACAACACGAATCTCAAACAAGAAAAACGAGGAATTCGAATCTCATTTGACGCCGACCAGGCCTATAATTTCAGAAGAAGGACGCGCAGTCGGACTTCGTTCCGACGTTACAATGCTACATCTGTATCTTACAACCCAAGAGATCAGCTGCTATACATATGGGATGGCGATAGTGCTAATGCTGTGTATTATAAACTGCATTTCGATAGCCAAGACCCTTCAAAGCGTAAGTGTTTTTATGTCTCATATATAATATACTTCTTCAAACAGTGGGTCACAAACCTTTTAAGCGCGATCATTTTTTAGAATTTTTCAAGTCTCGCGCCCCACCTCAAAAATACCTAGCTAACAATAGGCTACAAAACAGATAGTATGGCAAAAAACACGTTTAAAATCATGGGTGGAATGGCAATCTCTAAACTGAGGAATAAAAAAATGTAAATATTCAAAATAATTTGAGCAAGATCCGATCTAACAGAAAATTTTATTTTTAATTAGCTATTCCCCCCTCAAAAAAATTTCTACACTCCCTCCCCTTGTGAGCCACGCCCCACCATTTGGGAACCACTATCTTAGAACGTTTGTGTTACTCTCTACCGATTGTCTTTCAACGTTCAGTTGAGGATTTAATCAAACCTGCATACATTATTATTACTCTTGAGTGTGTTAGCGGTTTCAACTTTTCTATCAACAGTCTTTCTACTTCTACTTCCATGGTCTCGGGGTCTTGCTTCGAGTAAAACATTGTACAATAAAAAGGATGTCGCAATATGTTCTGATTCAGTCTTTTTATTTTGTCGAACATTTTTTTAATAAAGTGATAAAAAGTGAGCGTTTTTGAAATAAAAATATTGATGCTTTCTTCTAACGTTTTCAAGAGAAAATATAGATTATTACTTTTATAAAGAATCCTTCATAAATATGATACAAGTTGTTTAAGAATTACAGGATTCGGGCACATTTTTGGATTTTATTTGCTGTACTTTGAACAATTAATGATAGTCCCGCAGTGTGTGTATCAAGTTAGGGATAGGCCATAATTTTATTCCGATTTTCCATATTCGTACACACACTTCGGCAGCGTCCAATTAATTGTGTACACAGTTTTGCGGAATAAAATGTTTTCTCGACCGTCGTACGTCTTTTAGATAAATTGGATGGTGTGATAATGTTATCATAACGACAAAGAATTCATCTATTATGCCCATTTTCACAGCTCATGTGGTAACAACCACCAGACCAACAACAACCATGACAACCAGACGTAGATTGCCGCCTAGAACCACACGACCAGTCCTTGTTACCAACCCGACCACAGAAATACCAGAAGTAATTCCCCCAGGTATATTTTTTGTTGTAAATATATTGAGACATTTAGGTTCTAAATTTTCTTTTTCTTTAATTAAAATTTGGAAGCGAGTGTCGAATGTCGAGTTTTCTAGATATATGTACTAACTTGTGCAGCGTCAATAGTTGTAGTGACTTTTACGCGAGTCAACTTCTCTTCTTTCGATACCTTCCGATGACCCTCTAGAATTCTTATAAGAAGTAACATTACCAATATATTTATTTGCAGTAATCATTATTCGGCACTTGTACATTTGAAAATGGACGATGATAAATTTTGTATGGTTACATAAAACTTGCAACCAATAGGGTTTTGCTATAAAAAATGTTGAGATCCCATTTATTAAGTTAATTCGTTGAATAGTTCTTAGACCGGGAGTATGTTAGTTCAAAACCTAAGGTTCTCGCAATGAACAACAGCCCTATGCGACCATTGCCCCTCAACGTATATAGTTTATAATATTCAAATATTTATTTTTCTTTCAAGACGCATTTCCTCGGCCAGTCGATTACTGCGGATCTACAATGAGAAATGGCATCAGCTGGCCACAGACCAGCGTCAGCGAAAATGCGAGGATGCCTTGTTTGGATGGGACAGGAGGTAAGATATTAAAATGATCTTTTCACTGACATTTTGGCGCGGCGTTTTTGTGGTTAAGCGTTATACCTAACATAATAATCAGGGGTTTAAACGCCGTTTTCATCATTTCACCCAGGATAAATGAGAAATAGGCAGTGCCGAACAAAAAGTTTCGAAAACGGAACTGAAGGAATTTCATATAATAATAACTCCTTACACACAATAGACTTCTTATATATAGTCTTGTTTGGAGTCCCTCAAAAATAATATAGAAACTCGGTATATCGGTAGTCACAATTGTATACAGCCGAATTTGGCAAAATATTTATTCTGATCTCCGAATCATAAACAATTTATTCACATATATAATATAGACGAAAGAAATCCAATTAACCATTGTCAGCGTATTAGTTTGATATCAAGGTGAAACCCGTATGCTCGCTTTTTCAGAATATTATTATCCCGACAGAATAGTCGACCAGTTCATTGACCCCAATTTTGAACCTGTGCCCCCAGATGCGTACGATGACGTCATAGGTAACCATAGTAATTAGAGGCGTGTTGTGGAAACATTGTGATCAATACTAAAGTAATTGATCCAATTTTCAAAAAAAAATTTTGTTATTTTTAAAATTTGATGACCTAATTTTTATATTGACTTCACTTCTGTTGTAACTTATTCTCCCCGATTCTTATGATGATGTCATAGGTAACCATGGTAACGAGAGGCGTGTAGTAAGAACATTGTGATCAATTCGAAAGTAATTGATCCGATTTTCAAAAATATTTTTTTATTATTTTTATATTCTGATGACGTCATTGTGATAATAACGTCATATCCATTGTGATCAATATAATAGAATTGATCACTTTACTGAACATCGTGATACGCTTTTTGACAATTTTATCTATTATCAAAAGCCATCAACAGATACTATAAATTCCTTTTAAATTTTCTGAATATTTTTATATACAATATAGTTTATCTTACACAGCCGCCGTATCCTCCCTACCTGCTTATTACAGATGACAAGTAGGCTTTTGAATAGCTCGCTTTACAAATGTCCGCGCTAAGCTATCTATGTAAGAAGGTTGTAATTTGCTAACACAGACCTATAATTTTATAATATTGTATACGCGAACCATGTGTGGGGTTTAAAAAGGTATAATTGGGCTTGTTTATCAACATTGTTATATTTCTACGTTTGAGACCAAAATTGCTCCCTCATTTTTGTAAAACTTAGCTACGTTACGCGCAAACATGAAGCAAATTGACCACTAAGAATAGCAAGGTCACGCCCAGTCACACAAAAGTAATGGAGACTCTGGAACTATATAGAAACGTGGTGTATTACCGATTTTTGATCTCACTCAGAAATCAAGGGAACCTTCTATGAACGGAACCAATTTACTAACGCGAACCTATGTTTATATATTTTGCATACGCGAACCTTATGTGGGGTTTGCAAAAAAGATATAATTTGACATGTCTATTTCTCTAGCATATTTTTGCGCGCGAAACCTATCTTTTATGACATTTGTAACGAATCATGCGTGCGTGTAAAGGAATCCAACCTCAAAGTAATCACATAGACAAACATTGAAATAACTGAATAACTAAAGTTACTGAAATCAGGACCTAAGTCTGGGTTTGGCAATTATTTATTACTCAACCTTTTCACGAGAAGTAAGTCAAGTGCATACATTTATGTGACTCCAATTACTTAGCTCAGTCGACCTTACATGTGAACTTTTTTGTGTAGAAATTTTTTTCAAATGCTGGAACTTCAGTTTTATGTATGATTGTACCCAAAAGTTTCAACAAACACGCCTATTTTTCATAAAAGTTGTGTTTTTTCTAGAATTCGTCCCAAATGATCTTGTTTCCGTTTATTTTAAGCAACCCTGTAATTTACTTCTCATTTTACGGTTTACGTTACTTGACACCAACACTTATGATAATTTGAGTTAGTTTTTGTCATTTTGAACAGGTGATATGCTTGAATAATTACGGTCACGTGACCTATCGATTCGCCCAAAACAAGGATCATTTTTTTGGATTGACTCTTGTATTTTATAGCCCCCACAACCTTCCCCTCGCCCATCCTTGAAAGTAATTTATTTACCATATTCTTACACAAGGCGAAAAATGAGAGTTGAATTTAAATTTTTTGGCCACCTTCCCAATTGGCAAAAACTCAGCAACAAGGGCGTAGAAAAGCAGCTACTGCAATATTATAACAGTGGGTGTATTTTTTACACGGAAAAATTCCTAATTCGTCATTAGTTGATTAATTTGAATTACCTTTACGTAAATGTAAATACCAGGTCTGAATTCAAATGTTGGACACTCTCCCAATTTCCAAAAAACGACCGTGTTACTTCAAAACGTTTATTCCAACTTATACATCGTAAAATTTCAGTCTATTTTTGCTTTTTTTTCATAGCAATGTCAACACATACCACAAACGGAGTCCAAAAATATTCGAAAAAAAATACATTTTCAATTTAAGTGTTTTATGATTGTCGAGAAGATAGACACGCCATGACAAATTTTGTAATTAATAATTTAAAGAATTTTGACAGTAAAGTATAAATAAGATACCCTTGACTGTCAGGCGATATTTTAATTTCTTATACTGTAAAAGAACGTGTTAATCTAACTAGAATTTCGATGTGATTATTTCTATGGAACCTTTGATCTGGGTGTTAATTACTGTGTTGTCGTCGCAAGTTAGGAATGCTGGGGTCATACTCGATATCTACAATTTGCCCCTGCACAGGGGGTTTAGTCTAGAGTATCGGAACTCCACCCCCTTTTACACACGGTAACCGACAATTAAAATGAAATATGAATATTCATTTTATTTGTTGGCCTTTGCAAAAATGACATATTTGCCTGTTAGTCTCATTCAATGCCTTGAAAATCGAGAGGGAATCGCAAATCTTTTTTGCAATTTCACTTTTCATGCGGATATTTTGAATAAATATATAATTTAAAGTATTATGATGGCTCCAATTCAGTATTTTCCATGAATATTTCTTCAAGGCCTTTAAATTGTCACAAGAAGAATCGAGCCGACATGATGTCAATGTTATGTCAAAATGATTTTGTGTGTTTCATTTATTCTGGTGTCTCCAATAACAGCTAAAACGTTTTAAAAAGATTAAAACGTAGTTTTCCAATCAATTTTTATTAATGAAATTATACCTTCCCCTGCTTGTTTGGCGTCTTTGCTTGAGCAAATGAATAGCAAGATATGCATATGTAAAACATTTTTTTCCTCTTTTTTACAGCTGTTGCAACATGGAAGTGTATTCGTGAACCATCAATGCGTGAAGCAGCATGGCACGTGGCAGGTCCCGATTTGTCAAAATGTATCACCTGGGCAAGTGACGTTGAAACAAAATTTAATGCAGGTAATGAACGAGCACACGCCTTAGGCAAATGACTGGAAAATGAAATTTCTTCAAAACTTCATTTTGCTTAGGACAAGGTGCTTGAAAGTGCCTTTACACTTTATAAAGCAAACCAAATATTTTGTTATATTGTACTATAACTTTGCAAATGTTTGCAACTCTCAGCTAGGCCGATTGCAATTTTACTATTGCATCCTTTCCTTATCCTTCCCCAACTTATTTGATGTCTTGGCGGCAGTAGCGTAACCACCTAAAATAGCGCCCATGGCAACACTTAACCGTTGACTGACATTTTTCAGCATCTGTTGTTGAGTTGACACACTTTTTAGAAAAAATTACGAGTTTATTATTTCCAATTTGAGATTATTTTATTTGAATATTTCACAATCACAAATTTTGCGCTCCTTCCCAAACGGCGCCCATGCCACGAGTATTAGCTGTCATACCTCTGATACACCATTGTGTCTCAGTGGCAAATTCGCTCTCTTCAATTAGTACTATTTCTCCTTTTTAGTTGAGATATCAAGATGGTGCGTTGACAAAATATTTAAAAATAAATGATGCATTTCTACTTCAGGTCTTATTGAGCGGGCATCCGCCTTTTCTTCCCTTGCTTCGCAAATATCAGAAGAAACTGAGTTTACAGAAAAGTCCATCCAAGTTGCGACAGAACTGATGAAAAAACTATTGGAGGATCCTACGCTGCCAAGCAAATCTGATGCCAAGAAAATCATCGAGGTGACATATTGTGATGCGTATATATTAGTTGATGACGTATCGACGAATGATCTTAGTCTGAGAACAAAAACGGATAGCGTCCTCAAATTAATTACGTACAATAAATGAAATCATATATTGTGTCACCAAACTTGATGACGTATCATTATCGTAATTTCAATACGAAAAAATCATCTAAAGCGACCACGTATATATTTATATATATTAATGGCATCATCAAATTGATGACGTATGATAAACGATGCGAATTTCAAAGCGAAAATTCTGTTCGAAATTCTGAAACGACAGTATAAGTCTTCAGGATAATATTTCTGAAATACGGGACTTTTTTCTCTAAAGCGAATTTGTTACAAACTTTCATTTAACACAAAAAACAAACTCGCAATTCTTTATCCAAAGCAGCCTTGAACAATGTCCTGTGGGATTCAGAAACTTGCGTTAATGACGCGAAGTTGTCCGTCCTAACCAAAATTAAATTAGAAGTAATGAATCCTAATTAAATCCCTATTTGCGTAAGTAAACTCGGGGCAAAAGTGGTTAAAACAAGATTTGAGTTCGCGTTCCGGCTGTCAATTGTAAGAAAACTAAAATGTTCGCAAAATGAATGCATAGCCAAATACGATTGCCAAAATTGTTGAAACGTTACGCGAGATTACTTATCCTTCTTCTTAACCAGTGGTTGTTAACCGGGATTCCGCGGCACCCTAGAGCTGGTATGTGCAGTCTTTAATACGGGAGGGCCAGATACAAATAACTGAATAAACCGTGGGTTGCACTTTTATTTAACATAGGCTTTCTAGTAGGCACATACATTTTGGTTATCGATTTTATAACATGTGTTGTTTGCTTCGCAGAAGCTAGCTGTTGGGCATTGTAGCGCCATTGGCACTTCTCCGCGGGACCTCCCTCAGGCTTCGCCAATACAGTCCAGGGGGGCTGCAAGTTTGAATTAAAATTGATAGTCTATACCAGGGCTACTCAACTATTTTCACCAAAGGTCCGTTTGGAAAACCTCAAAGTTACTGGGGTCCGCAGTCCTACTCCGCACATTATTAAAATTTTATTTTTTTAAATAAACGAAACTTCAAATGCAATATTAAATTCAGTACAAGAGCAATGAATGGCTCACAATATTGACACTAATATCGCACATCGGTACCAGCACGACAAACTGTATAGCTGTGTATTTGAATTGTATCAAAATCACCTAAAACTATAAAACGATGCTTATGCTGCCAAAATAACACAAGCACACGCGGTCCAAATTAAATGGTCGAAAGGTCCGGATTCAGACCGCGGTCCGCCAGTTGAGTAGCCCTGGTTCATACCAGTGGTTCCCAAAATTTTATTGCTCGTGGCCCACTTCCGGAGACTTTTAGCACTCATGACCCAACCTCCCTCAAAGCACCCGGTTTCATTATTCCAGTGGTATTTATAGTGTTATTTTGATCGATAGATTCAAAATCCACGGGTCACTGGCTCCGGTTGAGAACTGCTGGTCTATATTAACAAAGTATAATATGTATATTGTTTGAATATAATCAAATGCCGATTAGGTCCGCCACTAATAATAAATTTGCGACACTTGAAAAATGATTTTGATTCGCTAGTATTTGGCTAGCTTTGAAGTTTTTAGTGGGAAAGATTATACTTTTTGTTAGAAGGCTATTACATTTTCTTTTATATATAATTGGTCTCACTCAAGGCTAACACAGCAGTTAATGTTGTTGATAAAATGATTTGAACTACACTATCCAACTTATCAGAAATTTGCATGTTGCGACCTTACTTTCAAAATGTCGCGTCAAATTTGGATTTAGTTCTGAACTTTAAAGTTGTATTTCGATTAGGTCGGGTTATTGGAACGGGATTGGTTGCATTTGTACTGTTGTACTGAGATTAACTGACATTACCTTTATTCCTATGCGCGCGTATGCAAATTTTAAATACGGCTTTGTGGAGTTTTATTTTATTCAATCTCAACAAGAGACAATTTATAGAGACTGTATTATTCAAATCTTATAGGATTGAGTTAACTTTATTTCTGTAAACGCGTATGCAAATATCTCCTTTAAATTAATGTTCAATTTGAAATTATGACTTTCTACTCATCTTTTTTATATGAGTATAAGCAGTTGCTGATACGCAATCTACTACTTCTGGAGATTCACTATATATTACACTGTATGAAATGGTGACCATTAGGTTTGAACTTCAGATATTTAAATGTACAGTTTGAAATTAAAATCAATTTCAACTTTTCCACTTTTTCTTTTGAACAAGACAATGCATAAGTATAGTCATGTTTTTGGAGTTTTACAAGATATTACACTTTGATAAGAGGGGAACGTTATGTTTGAACTTTAAATATCTAAATGTACAATTTGAATTAAAATTCAATTCCAATTACGACAATCTTTTTATCTAGACAGGGCTTTGCAAAACTAGACGCTAATTTGCATATTACGATCCCATTCTTAAAAGTTTTCCACGACTTTGGTTTTAATTCAAATCTTCTGAGATTGGGTTTACTTTAATCTTATAAACGCGTATGCAAATATCTCGATTAAATCAAAGTTCAACTTCAATTACTGTAATGCCTTTGTGGAATTTTCCCCGATTCTTTTTTTCAAAATTGTCTTACATTCTGGAGAAGGTAGTCGCATCACAATGCGACAATGTGCCATTTCAAGTAACAACGACATTTTCGAGGATTAAATCTACATAAAAAGAAGCTAAGTGTGAAGCTGAAATGCTGTCACAGTGCAAAATAAATTATCACAATAAACAATATGACGTCATATAGCATATTGCCATTTTGAAGTACAAATTTCTATACTTGGCTCAGATCCGATAGACTGTCCAGAGATTGCCAAATCCTTTACGATCCTGGCAAGATCTTAATTCAAAGCTAATAAGGTTGCAAGTAATCGATATGTCTACGCAGATCCTAAGTTAAAATCAATGTAAATAGCTTTATATTAGCAAGCGGTAAGACGTGTCGGGCATTCTCCAAAGCTTTGACAGGCGGTAAAACCTCATGAGCATATTCTGGATAGTGTGAGTGAAACTTGAGGGCAAAAGACTGAATGCCGTAACAAAAACAAACTCTGCAAACGTAAGCCGTCTGGAATCAAAATTTTGGATTGCAATTTTATCAAATCATAATGCAACAAAATGGGATAACTCCAACTCCACAAAAAGTCTAAAATCTGTCTCCTATAAAAGACTAACTTTTCGAAAGCAAAACAAACGATGCTGTGGAAGAAATAATAACTCTAAATCAGCATTTCCATCTATATCATAGGTTCTCAAAGTGCTCCGTACGGAGCCCCAGGGCTCCGTGAGAGAAACCCAGGGGCTCCGCGAGCTATTCGATTACTTTTTAAAATACTGAATTGGCTAATTTTACTATTAGGATTACTGAAATGAAAGACTACTATTCTGAAATAACATAAAATACGCGAAAAACTGCCAACTATACATAAATTGCAGTCGTATTTTTGCGATCTTGGGATTTGTCAAGCTTGATTTTGTTCTTTCGCACTCACGAGCAAGATGTCGCCGTTTAAAAAACAAGAGGTCGGGGCAAAATACGAAAGATTGAAATTTATTTCATTGCATGTGGCTCCGTCGGTAGTTTCAGAATGGAAAAATAGGTACATCGCGCGCACATTTGACTATGTTTCGGTTTCGCAGTTACTACGACGAATAACCAAAGAAAACCCAACATAACACCAAATTTTTGATTCACAATGTCTATGAACGTGTTTTTAATCTGACGTGAGTCTGCTGAAACAAAACTTATAGTGTTATCTCCCATTTTAAGTTTTAGTTTTAATATTTCAGTATGCAGCTTTTCAATCAAGAAATTTGAGTTGCGGATTTACCTTTTATTATTTATTATTTTTAGCATTTCGTCTCCGGTGACTATAATATGGTAACATGTTTTTCACATTGAACTCATAATTCCCCACGAGAACAAAAAAGCAATACTCGTCGTCATTGTGGAACAATACATCATACATGTATATGTCGAGGAAAATTTTTGATTTAGGGAGAATAAACACCGCCATGCTGACGAAAACAATCGGCGATCGTAACAAAATGCAATCGAGTACGTTATTAGCGGCCTTTTAAGTCTTTCAAAAATATCTAAAGGTAAAAGATCCGACCCCTAATTTATTAATATGTTTGTCAAGTATCAAGTTTACAGCTTTAGTATATATAATTCATCTTTTACATTTAGATTCATTCATGACTTGTATTAACCCTATTAAAAGAGGTTAAGCATTTAAAATAAGTACAGTACTTTTGACTTACTCAGGAATATTATTCGGAAAGTAACAATTTTAACATTTATTTTGAGGCTCCGTGAATAATAGTCAACTTTTTCAAGGGCTCCGCAACACAAAAAGTTTGAGAACCCCTATTATATATATATTAGAACCCCTTGCTCTATATAAGTTCTAAAATCACCACAAGTGTTATATATCAGTGTTCTTCAAACTATTCTCATCACGGCCCAAAATTTTTTGTCGACCCCTGGGAACTAAGATAAGGATAAAGTAAAATTTAATAATACGGAAAATAATGAAAACAATAATAATAAAAATGACAATACCTTCAATAAGACAAATGTGCTGGCATATTCTCGCACTGAAGATCGAATCTTGGCTTTATTTCGATGTCTTGGTACTGGTCCCAAATCTTCTAAATTTGATCGATATTTTATTTTAACATAAGTTATTGTCAAAAAATATATTACCGCGACCCCCAATATAGCCCTTTCGTGACCCACCTGGGGTCAGGGCCCCCCAGTTTGAGAAGCCATGTTCTATATCAGGGGTGGCCAACACGTCGATCGCGATCGACCGGTCGATCGCCACGTCTTGAGGAGTCGATCGCGTCGTCACGCCCGAGAATTCTGTAATACACCTCAAAATATTGCCGGCGAAATTTCTTTTATGCGCGTGTGCAATTATCTCCATATTCAGTACTCATACGTTTTTGTGTATGATTTTATTACCGATCAGTCGATCTCGAGCTATTTCAACACTTTTAGTCGATCACGGTCTCAAGTAGGTTGGCCACCCCTGTTCTATATGATTGTTTCTCCACGGCAAACCGATCCTATAGTTTGCAATTGCAATGTGAATGAGAATCAAGTTTTTTAAAACACAAATTAAATTTTTTATCAATTGCTCTTTTAGTTTGGCGATGAACTGTATGAAGCTATGATCCGGTTTCGAATAAGATTTAGACGAGGTAAATAACTCTTGCATGGGGATTTAATGCATTCGAATCAATCCCTAGAGCTCCCCCAATTATTCGTAACCAATTATGACTTACTTTCCATTTCATTTCCACAGTGTTAAAATTTTCCGCCTTTCGATGTTCAGTTATTACATGACACTGTGCCCTAATGCAAAATCATTGTGAAAACATAATTTAATTATGATGTCAAAGTACGTTTGTTCGTTTTTTCAAATGAATACATTGTTTTTTCATAATCTAATTTTTATACCATAATTTTAACCAAATTTTAAATTATTAAATTATAAGGCAACGGCGTCTAACAAATCAAATTAGTCCAAAATAATCAACTTTCCGAGTGAAAACTCAAGACAGAAACACGACATTGCTTATTGAGAATGTTTAACATTATGTTTATTAAAATATGTGGCATTTTTGACAGAAAAACGCCTTTTTATGAATTTTGCCAGTATTTATCAATGATATGTGGATTTATACTTTTTTGTTAATGTATTTGTGATAATTTCTTTATTACCTTTTATTTAACTTATTATTCTTTGCGTTAGCACAGAAAGTAATAAACACTTTTTAGTAACAGACAGATGTTCTGTGTATTCTCACATTACAATCCACAAAAAAAACTTGGTAACTTTTGGGATTTTGTTGGAAAAACAATTGACGCAAGAAAAATAGCAGGCAACCCAATTTTGGGTAACGACACATAGGTTGGGAAACAATGGAGTAGCCAATGCGAAACCGTAAATGTGCGAGCATGATATCTCTTTAACTAGCAGTGGTCTGTTGAGAGCATTGTTCAGAGAAAAAAAATATAAATATCCTATATAAAAAGTATGGTACTCGCGTAGTATGTGTACCAGGTTATGGCCATAATTTTATTTCGATTTTACTTATTTTAGTTCTATTACCAGTTCGTGGACTGTCTGTGTTAGCCAAGGAAATATACCCCCTGCCCATAGGTTTCAGTCCCTTTACACAACTTGATGTAAAGTAGGCGAAAGTTACCTTAATATTGATACATCTACTTCTGGAGCGCCATTCCTTGTTCACAGAGAAAATAGGTATCTCCTATATAAAAAGTTGCTCTAGAAGTATGCGCACCAAGATGTCGCACAACCTAAATCCTAAACGGTACACACATACTATGTTTAGGTTGTGCGTCATCTTGGTGTGATTACTCCTGGAGGTCCAAAAGTTCATCACATGTCCTTATTCTAGAAATAAATTGCTATTCTCTCTCTTAACAATGTCGATTGCGCTTTCAAATTGAATTATTCAATTGAAAGAAGCCAGTAATGTATTTTCATTCAGACATAATATAACGTCCCTGGACGACATGTTAAATTATTCATTCCAAAAACGTCTGAAAAGGTCTCACATAAAGCCTCAAGAAGTCGAAAAACGACCTATTTAAAATTTGTTCTAAGCAAGTTCCAATACTAATAGCTGGATATCAAATTTTCGTATATGAAGTGAACCTATGGATCGTTTGCTATTATGTTGTTGTTTTTGTTTTTTTTGCAAAAGATCGAGGTAAATTCTACAATTTTCTTCATTGAAGCCATATTTTACATTGCAATTTGGACATACGGCTCGTTTTTCCTTAATAGTTAATGCTAAAACATGTTTTTCGTGTGTGAACGATCAGCTACCTGGCAATGGAATCTATGTTTTCAGTAACTTGGGTGCCAGAATGACCCATTTCAGTATAAAAGTATTCAATATTCGATTCGATTCTGAAATCATCAGGTATTCAAAAATAGCCATCCCCACTCTCGGCTCCATTCCAGATTCTAAAAAGCCACTCCAACTCCGAGCTTGGAAATTGGACACGAAAACTGATCTGAGAGCTATTTTCCAAATCAATGAGATATTCCAATTATCGATATTCTGAATGTCAAAAAACACTCTTCATGTAACTGTGTTATAATTAACTTGTGACTTATCGAATATAACAAATAGACGTGAGCAGTGTTCCCTCTAAGGTGTGCGCGTGTGCGCGCGCACACAGCTTTCAGAGGCTGCGCACACGCCTGGATTTACTGCGCACAGACGTATTTCGATGTAATGTAACAATGGGCTCGGTTGGCAGGTTGAGAAAGTTTGTTGTTGGCCCACTTATTACCCGGTTAGAACGCCAAAATTTCTTCATTGGTTTTTGCACAAATATTAGTCATTTCCAAAAAAGTGCGAACACACCAAAATTTCTGCGCATACATACTACAAAAAATTAGAGGGAACATTGGACGTGAGTGACCGTGTATGCATAAGAGTGGTTATACGTATGTTGGCGACCTCCGAACAATTTGATTCATCATTTTATTACTAAATCTTGTAATAATATTCGATGTAACATTTTTTTAGTCCGTGACCACAATTTCAAGCAAATTACTGAATTTTCCTGAGTCAATGAAAAGTATGGAAAAAGATGAAAAAACTCAATTATCAAATTTACTGATGAATGAAATAGAAAAAGCTGCGTTCCTTTACGCCGATACTGTTGCCATGACACCCGCTGGCACAAGAGACAATGGTAAGATACTATGACGTCATTTGTTACATCATATTAATTGTTAAAATTTTCAGTAATACCGTTGTTTTTATGACGTCACGAATGTCAATTGTTTTTAAGCTTCTGCTAAGAAATGTGTATTGAACATGACGTCATATTATTTTTATTTACAAACTTTTTTAGATCCCTTGATAATTGCAAAGGACCAAGTTATAATACAAGTGGACGTGAGAGAGAAGTCATTGCAATCTATGACGTCAGGTTCTGTGACGTCATTTCCAAACGAAAAGACTTGTGCAGGGATCGACAATTGCGGATCTGACGTAATCAGACTTGCAGATTCTGAAATATTGGGACAAAAAGGCGAAGGTATGTTTTAAAGAGAAATACAACAGGGCCGTTTGCTGATTTTACACCAGTTGTTTTGCTGAGATTACACCACCCGAGTATGTAGAATGTAAATATACAAATTATTATGTAAATATTATACACCCAAGGTGTAATAAATTAGATAAGATCTGACTAGCCAAAAAAATTCCCTCTCTCGAGAAATGGTACCCTATTGCATAACTGTCATTGGCTAACTGTTTGCTGTGGTCGGCAAAATGTGGCCCGTTGGCCAAATGCGGCCCGCGAACAAATTTTTTTGACCCTTAAAGAAACCTCATTTCTAATGCTGCCCATTAACAAAGATTGATCAAAATTTCCACGTTATCTGCGCACTGATGTATGCCCTAACAATGGCTGTTTTGTGGCGTTTGTTTTGTATTAATTGGCGTGAGCGAAAGCACATGTATGTCAGTTGTATATCGTTTACTTCCCGAAAGTGATTACCGCTAGTCGTAAATAACACAGAAATAGTTGCGGGTCCGTAATAATTTGAAGTTTAATGCGGGGATTATTTAGAGGCGGGAATTAATGCTGGCACGTACGCTACTATCACTGTTCATATTTGCTGTTCATACTTGAAATTTCTCAACCACTAGCAGTGGCGTGTCAAACTTCCCTGCTGCCCGGGGCAAGTTTCTGATAATGCTGCACCTTATACCTGACTTGGGGGGAAAAAATTGGGGGATAAGCAAATTATAGATGTTGTTATAGGCTACAAGAGAATAAATAAATAAAAAGACAAATGAGAGTAAAATGTTTGTTATATTTATTTCAGGTCCAGCTACAGTCGTATTCGCTTTGTACAACAATCTGGGAGATTTCCTCAACCAACCGGATGATGTAGATGTAGATGACGACGACACCAAGAATGATGACGTCACTAATGACGTCGCCACATGGGAAATTGATTCTAAAGTTATTTCGGCAACGTTTAGACAACCAGGATATCAAACGCACCTCAGCAAACCAGCAGTTATTGTACTGCAACATAAAAAGGTATGTGCGTAACAATGAGTCGAAGTCCTTAAATCTCGAGTCGCGAGTCAAGACGGAATTCGAGTCAATTACGAAGTTTAATTTGAGGTTGGGTAGAAGTCCGCCAGGGGAAGGGGGGTCGGAATTTTCGGATTTGGGGTCGGAAACTTCCTTTTGAAATGTAAAAAAAAAGCATTTTTCTGTATCATGTATAGCAATTTTAGATTGAAACGATTTTTAGACTCTCAAGTCTCAAGACTCCTGAAAACTCGCGTTTCCCGGAGGGCGTTCTAACTTGGTATTAATTGTAGATTTCAACCTCCATCCCCTTCGAAACATTTGTGCATTCTAATCTAGTTCTATTGTTTTCCCCTAAATTTGAAATATTAATTTTTCAGGCGTCACATTCTCCACATCGATGTGTGTTCTGGGATTACTCTGAAAGGTTAGTATGATTGAATATTGCTAGTAGATAATGATGTTTGAGCCGGAAGGGTTCTACATGGAAACATAAATTCATCGCAGCTATGAGTGTGACAATTATGAAATCATCTCTGGGCATATTTGCCTAATTTTGCTCAGAGAAAAGTACTCCCGAAGTATGTGAACCAAAATAGCGGACACCGGAACGTGGTATGTGTGGCAACTTTGCCAAAATATGATACTTTCTCACTTCTTAGCGATTAAGTGCGCGTGGTATTGCATTTGGCAAATTATAAAAATTCATACGGTTGATCAAATTGTTAATCTTCAAAATATCGCCACTCCATCCAGTTTAGAGAACCAAAAAGATTTCCCGTACTCGCAATCTCTTTTTTACACTGAATACTTATTTTTGGAGACAATCTCTTCGCAACAACATATTACCAAGTAGTGCCCAACACAGGACGTTGCAATATGATATGTAGGCAACTTGCACATTTGTTCTCACTTAGAGAGCAAAATTTACTTCGAATGAGGGTCAAACTTGCCTCCGAAATGCCCTAAACATTCACTGCATTGATATAATTTATTATTCCATTACAGCACTAACTCTGGCAACTGGAGCGACGTCGGTTGTCGAATGACAGAGAACAACGAGACCCATACAACCTGTGAATGTGATCACCTGACAAGTTTTGCGGTTCTTGTAAATCACGCGGGAGTTACCATAGCACCCATCCACGACATGGCGCTAACGATCGTAACAAGTGTTGGGATCTCTATCTCCATCGTGTGTTTGCTTCTGTGTATTCTGACCTTCTCGTGTTTCAGGTTGGTATTAAACTCATTATTATAAATGTTGTGTCGGGGTTTGACATGTTTCCAATGGAGTCGGAGCTCAGCACAATTTTAAAAATGCCCGGAGTTTGGTATTTGGCAAGTATGATATTGATTGCCCGGCGGTGTCTCGGCGTACTAGTCGATCACACCTTTGAAACGTGTTTTTGTGCTGAAATGTATATTTGTGTGTAATCTTTAACGTTAGTATTTGGACTCTTTTTTAGTGTTTTGTGATTTTTGTAAGGATGTTATTCAAACATCAGTTACTGTTTGCTTTTTTATCCTTTCCAATGTTTTGTTGGCAGTTGGGTCATCTGAAAAACTCTTGGGTCCCTTGCTTAAAGTAAAACCACGCAAGAACTTCAAAACACTGTTGAGGGCAATTGAATCTATAGCATCGTAGCTTTTCCACTTCGCTTTAAATTAGTCATTCACTATCGGGCCAAAAAATATTGCCATTGAGTATTTAAGCATATCCTTGAGTCGCGAGATTTTACAAAATTTATTTGTTCGAATATTCGGGTTCTTTGAAAAAAAAAGGTTGGAAACGACTAGTCTAGTCGAAACATCTCTCTCATACCCCCCAAATACAGCTATAGTTCATTAGTAATCTATATTCAATTCACATTTCCAGAAACCTTTACAACGATCGCAACACAATCCACAAGCACCTCTGCATCTGCCTTCTCATCGCTGAAACGATATTTCTGATCGGAATCAACCAAACGCAGAATAAAATTGTTTGTTCGATCATTGCTGGCTCGCTCCATTATTTCTTTCTTGCTGCTTTCTGTTGGATGGCATTGGAAGGCTTTCAACTTTACGTCATGTTGGTTGAGGTCTTTGAAGCGAACAGTTCAAGATGGAAGTGGTATTACCTTGTTGGATATGGTGAGTTGGGTTTGTTTGTTATTGTTGTAAGTTGAAGTTCCCGGGTTTAAACCTGTGCCCACCACTTTACCCAAAGTGTCATAAATGGAGTAGATAATGCCAAACTAGAAGAAATTTGTGTCTCTCAAAATATAGTGACATCATACATTCTGGGCTGAAATAAATGCAGGGCAGTAATATTACTTCGGTGACATCGTAAATTTTGAAAGACAATATTTACATGCTTGGCTTCTGGCATCTGGAACCATCCTCAGACTGCTGATTGATGAAAACTGTGATGTTCCGTCAGGGACGTAGTCTAGTGGGTTTGAGGGTCGGCACCTCTTCACTTTCAATATAAAGAAAAAGGATTTTTGTGCATCATACATAGGAATTTTCCCGACCTTGAAACGCATTTTTGACCTTCAAAAGTCTTAAAAACCCATATTTTTCGGCCTCATGCCGGATCCGCTATAGCTGTTACGGTCTAACTTGGCAATTGGAAGCCTATATGTGTAGCAAAACGATATTTAGCGGAATAAAATTGAATACCATTTTGATAAATATTATAGTTGTATGGTGTACAATTAAATTCTGCTGCAAAGTCTCTTCACGGCTGTGGTTTTTATCTATTTGTTAGATTTGATTTTGCCCGCATTATTTTGAATATTTACATTTCTTTATTTTGGATATTTACATTCCATACACGTATTTTCAACGTGTTCTTCGAATAAAACATACTTTTGCCTTAGTATCCGTTGTTTATAGCTTATTGTTAGCTAGTTACTTTTGAGATTTGACAAATTATAAAACGGAGCGCGGCTTAAAATATTTGCGAACCACTGCTTGCAGGTTTCTCTTAAATTTCCTAAATTGTGTGTAGAATGGGTATATTATATATCCATTCATTCTTTTCAAATCATATTCATTAATTCACGTTACTTTTCTTTCCAGGCGTTCCAGCTTTAATTGTCGGTGTGTCTGCTGGTATCGATCATGCAGGGTATGGAACAGACAGTGTCTGTTGGTTGGAAATAGATTCCGGTTTTATCTGGAGTTTCGCTGGACCCATACTAGTCATTATTCTACTAAACCTCGTTTTCCTCTCAATCACCGTCTATAAGATGTACGTTCATACGATGTCGTTCACTGATTCTGGAAAGATTAATTCAATCAAGTAAGTGAGAGTCTGTGTTTAGCATGAATCTAACTCCTGACTTCGGAATTTCGAGATATTGACTCCGGCTTCAACACAAGACTATAATTTGACGATAATATAATTTTAAATTTTGTTTCAAGAAATGGGTTTATTATTTTATGTTATGACTTCGGTGCCAAATCCTCCAAATATCAAATACTATATCAAACTAAATAAATTTCAGTTTTAGAAACCAGTATAATAAAAAAAATTCATATCTTTCTCGAAGTAAAAAAAACCCAATAGGATATGCTTGGCCATATGGCGAACAATAATTTTTTTGAGCTATCTGTTGAGATTAAGTGCCAGTATGACTATATATATGATATATAGTGTATCATTGCAAATAATGCCTTGGATACTGAACCGTGGATAGAAAATCAATCCTTCCTCACCAATCGCATTTCAACTTTTATCTTTCAGAGCGTCAGTTCGTGGAGCGTCTGTTCTTCTCTGTCTTCTTGGAATAACTTGGGCGTTTGGTTTCTTATGGATCAGCGAACACATGACGGTCGTGGCCTATTTGTTCTGCATATTCAATGCATTTCAAGGAATGTTTATATTTATATTCCACTGCTTATTACCAAGAAAGGTGAGTTCTTATGACGTCAGTAAAATTACGTCATCACTTATAAATAAGAAGGTGATTTTTATGACGTAGTCGCACGATGACGTCACTACATAAATTCAAAGTTCTGGTACTTATTACCAAGAGAAGTGAGTCATATGACGTCATTGTTCTGTGTCTCATTACGTCACTGATTACGTCATTAAATCTTATTTTAGGTGCGTCAAGAATACAGCAGATGTTTTAGCAGATTTCCTTGTTGTAAGAATATATCACGTGATACCTACGTCAGCAATAGTATGACGTTTTCAAAACAATATACTCCAGGAAGATTTGCACCAAACGGGACAAATGGACCCACTCAACAGTCAAGTATTACTGTACGTTATTCTATTTTAATGACAAAAAATTTCTACAAAGAACAAATACATTGACACTAGAAGGAGCCTTGGACAAATAGTCATTTGAGAATACATTATTGCGATTTCTCACAGAATAATTGGAAAACTCCTGAGCCTAGACAATGAATGCAACCTACCATCCAACCAATTATTTCAAAAAACACCTTCCAGCCATCCAACCTATATTCATTTCTACATTTCACAGGGACACAGTCAACTCCGTAGAATGTGGAATGAAACAGTCGCTCCAAAGACTTCAGAATCTTCTCCGATCGCTTCAGAAGTTTCAAACAATATTGTGCAAAACAGAGGTAAGGACCGTTCCATATTTATAGAAATTAAATCTCGTTGCTGTTTCCTAATCATATTGACGATTTGCATTTGACGTTTATTTGCAAACGCGCGATTCTACGCTGTAGGCTAGCTCTCTTCTAAATCCGCGCGCTTTTAAAGACAATCATTGAGTTTTGTTAGAATTATCACACAGAATCTGAACCAACTACTGAAGTACTATGTAAATAAGATTCCTCACTAATAAAAAAAATACAATTTTGTGAGTATTATGCCCTGAGACTTGTGTCAGGATGGGGATCTTAAACATTCGCTCAAATATAGCTAAGACCGACAATATAGCAACTGTTAGAGCTTTGAAGTGTTAGATCCATGATAATGACTCCGGTCTGAGAATTTATATTACTCCGGTTCCGAACCGTAAAAAATGTTGGTATTAAAAACTTCAGCATGTGCAGGTCTTTTTAAATAGACGGTTCAAATGCCGGATAAACTCACAGTTTTTTATAGTTTCTGCTAATAATTTTGACTTCTTCTATCATCTTTAAAAGTATACAACTCCTCTGTGAACTTGAAAAAGTTCGACACTCAACCAAGGTTACACAGCCCTGGATACTGGGTCATCATTACCAATATAGATTAGAGAAGCAGAAATTAATATCAAAAACTACAAGTCTAGAAGCAAAGCATCATGGTCTTTCTAATAGCTTGCAAGATCACTAATTACATCTCACATTCTCACCCATCCCCATTTTGCTGTTTTACAGACTCTTCTTATTCGAATGGTACACATTAGCATGAGTAAGTCTTTCCACATCTCGAATCAAAGCTATAACACTTTGCCATTTGGGTGAAATCTGCCATTAACTTCATTTGCATTTATTTAATTGCTTGAGGTGCTGTGTTTAGCTAAGCGCTTTTCGAATCATTAGCTCATTTTTATAGGTAATTTTACACTTTCATTTCAAATAGGGCTGAGTGCAAGCGCTTTAACGAATAGACGGCTGCGCTTATAGAGATAGCAAGCAACCTTACTAATTCGATTTTTTGATAGAGTTGTAGGCGTTTGCAAGAAAACTTTTAAAACTAGGATTCAATTTCCCTTCAATCAGTGACGTATCTGGCGTATGGAAGCGGTGGCTGATGGCTCGTGCCACGTCATTTTACGTAGAAACGCTACTGCCTATAATACATTTTCTGTAGGTAAATGTATGGAAGTATTTTTCCCCTTGCATCGCTCGACTGCTGCATTGAACATTGAAAAGATAACTTCATATCGGAAAATATTATTATACCTATTTTAATTGTTTGGCTAAGCATAAATTGTATTTTCTTCAATATTGAGTTATATTTGGGCGGTGAAAAGATTTTTCATATTTTTTGTTATCTCAATTTCATAAAAATTTCATTTTTCCACATGCTGCTTATATAAGGATTAAAAGTCACTCAATCTCTCTCAAGAGAACTTTCGAAAATGAGAGGAGTTTCACTCCGTGACCGTTCCAACTCAACATCGTCCTTTCTTTATTTTTATTCCGTTGACAAGCCCAAATATGGATTAGGGAAACCCCCTAAATTTGGCGCCACTGAGCCACGACCCCGAAGAAGCCGTTCCACTATCATAGCCAACTATTATCAACGAAACACAATGACGTTATCAGGTGTGACTTGATGTTGCATGTAGTGTGGCGTCATCAACTTGTAACGGCATCAATGTTTACATGACGTCATCAAATATTGACGACATCCACGCTGTCATTACGTCATTAAATAGTAACTACATCAATGTTATCATGGCGTTATTAACGTTCTCATCAAACAGTGATGGCATATCCATGTTGCCATGACGTTTTAATTGTGACAACATCGATCTTGTCATGTCGTCATTGAATAGTGACAACATCAATGTTGTCATGTCGTCATTAAATAGTAACGACTTTGATGTTGTAAATTAGCTTTACATAAATAATGCATGCTTGTAAATATGTATCACCTTGGAAAACAAAGAGTTTTACTTTATCCTTGACGTCATCAGAATGTGATGTCACTTTTGAACTTTATGATTTTTGTATGACAACTTTTCATGATTTGAGTTTCAACCTTTCAAAGCACGATTACCTTTAGCCACCTGCTGTGTTAGTTATGTTTGCTTCACTATTTTGAGTATTTTTTGATTTGAGTGCCATTTTTTATTTCTGGGTCAAATAAGTTGTATTTTACTAGCGCATTTAGTATATTTCTTCCTATCACGTGTTATCCATATTGGTATTTTTCCGATGAAGTCTTTTAGGAAAATTTACTAAAACCAAACTCACGTGCACTCACTCAAAATAAAATGAGATCAATCCCAGAAAAAATTAATTAATTCTATAAAAATGAGGAAAATTATTTAACACTTGAATTTCTGTTTGTGTATGACTGTACCCGAAAGTTTCAGTAATAAAGTTATGTTCACTCTGGAACATGTTTCTTATAGGTTGGATTTTATGCTTTATGAGGGAAAATGTGAGTGCTGATATGAGCCACACTAAATGGTTTGGCGGGCCGGTCTGAGCCCTACGGGCTGCCTGTTGCACATCAATGAATCGGACAAGTATTTTTGAATATGCTCCTAAACATTAGGTGATCTAAACAAGTCTGTAGTTTATTCATGTAATTTTTGATTTCAGACTCATCAAGGCAACCAAACTGTAATCACCGAATGACATCCAATTTACCTCAAAATTCTGGCAACATTGAAAAACCAATACCTACTCGTCAACAACTACAGGTCGTGAGGCAAGAAGATGACGTGTTTCTACCCTCAGAACATGAGTTCGAAACTCGGTCGCCTCAGATGAATTCAGAAAATGTCGGACTTCTTCAAAATGAACAAGACGAAATCCAATATGATCGATTACACCATCATCGTCATGGTGATGGTAATTTCCACCACGATGGGGCGCCATTTCATTCTCAACATTACCCCCCACCTGGACATTTTCATACAGGACTCCCTCCCGCACCAAGACACCACACGCACACTTCTACCGGAGTTCATAACCACCCCAGATTCGGGCCCACATCCCATTCTCAATCGCGAATACGGGACATGGGGGACGATGCGATTTTGGATCCAAACGTTAGATACCCCCAAAGCAGGCATCGAGAACCCGCACACCCATATTACTGGGACCTTGACGCCCCTTTAGCGCACCACCACGCCCATCAGAGCAGCCTAGATGACAGTTTAGGAAATACTAAAAGAGACTCCGGTATCAGCATGCAGCATTTGCCGCCAAACTCAATGATGCATAACCTTGCAAACGAAATGCATCGCAACAAAGTACGTAGTTCCCATGACAACCTGACAAGTGGTGTCCAATCAGATATCGATGTACAAAACCACGGGATGCCAAGAAAAGTGCCTTATCCAATTAGAGGACAGAATGGCATGGAGGCGGGGCAAATTGAACCAGGACATCAAAGGTTTTCACCCAATCACAGACGAGGAGGTGGGTTCTCTGACGACGAAGGTCAGCCCTCATCATACGAAGATCGTGAGAATCCACAGAAGTACCAAACGAGCAGTATGGATACTCAAATGCCCCCACATTGCGCCATACATAACCCGGCTGTAATCCCCTTATCCGGGAGACAGGATGTCCCGAAGTCTCACCAAGGAGGGCACAGGAGGCGCAAGTCCCTTAGTACCGATTCGGACGATCCCATCACTAGTGACTGCAGCCCTAGTAGTACCGGATCGTTTGATAAGCCACAAAACAGACAATATAGGCAATGGACTGGTCAAGAAGAATGTGCTTGATCTTGCAAGCTAGACCTCAATGAATTCATGGTTAGTAAATGCTGAAATGATGAAAAGCAAACATAATATTTGCTAACGTTTCAAAGACTACAAGCCCCCGTTAGGAACCGCTGCTTTAGGGGCTAAGAAGTGGGTTTCAAAATGGCCCACAATTTGTACAAATAAATACCATTCAAACTTCAATTACAAAAAAATATTGAATATAAAGAAAAACGTAAAAAGCGTAAAAAACGCAACCAACAGAAAAGACACGTCAAACTTAAATTTCTATTTAATATATGTTCCAGAGGTTGACTTTTTATTCAACTTTATTGCAAACTTTCACTAGCTTTGAGGTATAACGACGACCAATTAAATTGTTGTATGTGTCAAAACTGTGCGAGAGAGTGCCACAGCACCAGTTTTACTTCTTCTATTACAAAATTAGTTACAAAAGTTACAAAATTAGCCAAGTCAGTATTCTAATAAGTAAACGAATAGCTTGCGGAGCCCTTAGGCTTTTTCACGGAGCCCTGGGGCTCCTTATGAACCCCTTTTAGAACCTATGTTTAAGCCACCATCTCGAAGATTCCACCACAATGCCAGTTTTTGCTTACTTATAAGTAGCAAAATGGCCCTGTCGTTGGCCACAGTGTATTATTGTCTGTGGCTAGAGATCTTGTTTTTAAGCTATATCGGTATATTGTCTTATCTTCCATGGCGTTACAAAATGGGTCTGCTATGGCAATTTGAAAAGGTTCGATGCTGTAGCCCAGTGTATCCAACATAAGCGAAGTGTGCATGGAAGAGCATTTGTTAGAGCTAAATTACAAAACATTTTATAGGATGGGTCTTTGATAAAGATTTATGGTGTTCCCGAAGTATGCGAACCAAGATGGCGGACATCGGAACGTAACATGGGTAACAGGTTAGGGTTAGGCGATAATTTTTTTCCAATTTTCCTTATTTTAGTCCTATTATCAGTTCGAAGACTAGCCAAGAGCCTCCCGTAGTATTTATACCTAACATTATGGCCTAACCCTAACCTAGTACACATATTTCATTCCGATGTCCGCCATCTTGGTTCGCATACTTCGGGAGCCCCAGTTTTATTATAGATTTAATCATTTGCTTTTATTGAACGCTGCCTTATTTTGCAATTTTGAGATTTTTTTGTTCGCTAATATTTAACATAAGTAGATAAGTAATTTTGCTCCAATGAATCTGGCAACACTCATTGATACTCACTATCAAATCGTATTATACTAAGCACGGTTCCATATAACGTAATCAAATGGCGAATATCAATGTTTGTTGCCAGGTTTATTGTTTACTTGAAGCATAGAAAATACCAAATAGGTAGTGCTTTTTTTACATTTTATTTTTGTTTCTTTTTTTCCTTAAAAATGACATTTTTGTTGCATTTATTGTACATTTGTTTCATTAATTTGAATCATTTTTAAAAACAAATCAATTTCCTAATCAGCTTCATTATTTACCTATCAACCTTAATTAACAACAGCACCAATAACAACAAACCGCATATTGACAACAAAAATGTTTTTGTTTTAATTTCATGTTTGCCTTTTCATACTAACAGTTTTTCTCCACCCTTTCACTAACAATTAAAAAAACTCAAAAATTTGGCTTCAACTCCGGTCCCAGTTTTAACAAATTTGACTCCAACTACAGCAAAACCTTGGATTTCTATCATTATATTGATATAAGCAACTCATATCAACTCAAAAATAAACGTTGTAATTTGGACCCGGCTCCGGCTTCAATTTGAGTCATATGTCAAGTCCTTCAACTCCAGATAGTATAAAATACTAAAATACTCAAACATGGGATTGACTCTCAACCTATACTCTCTAAAAATGCTCAGATGTGTTGACACCTATGTAACACCATTCGCGGGATATTTAAAAAGGCGAATTAACTCAACAACAATGGCGAGTTAAAAAAATGGTTCAAATTCACATTTCGTGCCCTATAAATGCACATTGTTGAAATCTACGGATATGAATAAGACGCCATTTGAAGGTTATTAAACGAAATTTTGGAGTAAACCAATGCGCACAATGATGCCTTAACGAAATATGAGAACAAATTACGCCGGTTATCCTTAGCTTAATATTTAAAATGATCCAATCGGTTCAAATATACTGAAATTATTTAGCACAATAATCAGAGTTTACAAGATTCCTTTCGCAGCATTTTGTTATATATTTCTAATATTAACCTGTGCACTGATTTCGCGCTAATGACGTCATAAATAAGCATTGCGTCATTTCCTGTTAACCGTGACCATAGAAACGGATTGTGCTTTATACACGATTTATCGATGGCCATGCATTGCAGTGTGTGATCTTTGTTGAATATTATGTTTATCTATATTATGTATTAAATACCACTGTGATATAATAATGATATTATTATGATGTCATTTCAATAAAAGTTTCCGCGCGAAATCGTGTGCTTGTCTATGAGTTCACCGCATTGTTTCACAAAGTTGATTGATCGGGGGCCGAAATTAGAAGTGAGAAGATATTCGCTGGTAATTAAGATACAGGTATAATTGAATTGTTACGTATATACACGTGGTTAAACTATGATAATGACGTGACATTCGGAGGTAATAGGATCGCGGTTTTGGGAACCACTGGTTTTTCCCAATAAGAGAAAAGTAGTAAATAGGACTGGGTTGAATCATAGTATAGCTCCCAACAATTTTTCTGATTCGTCTAGATTGGCAGATAGACATATTGATTTTAAGTTGGGATAGAACACTGCTATCATGGTATCGCCCCACCCAGGTTCGTAGCAAGAAATTTTCAATTTCAAATTCTAAAATTTATAATTGCCGAGTTAGAACGCATCAGCCAGCGGAAATGGTGGTTTTACAAAAGTCTTTGAGGGCTGAAAAGCGTTTTAAACTACCAAAAGTTGCTATTTATGATACAGAAAAAGGATTTTCCTACATTTCAAAAGGGTGGTTCCGTGTACCAGTAAAATGAGAAATAGATAAACGGGAAACTTTATATGAGGAATATTCCTCTTAACTGACGAACTCTGAGGTCAAAAGCTATGATCCAATCAAGCAAATAAATATTGAGAAATGATTATTTGTAAGACATTCGAAATATTCAATTTTGCCACCAGCATCAGTCTGGATATTGGCTAATTTGCATTGTAATCTTAAACCGAATGTAATAAATTGGAGAAACAAAGTCAAATTGGTGCAATTTTTGCCCTTCCTAATAGATAGCCTTTTACATATACAGTATTTCAGAGCGAACGGCAAAAATGAGCATCTAATGAAATCTAATATGCGTCGAGAAACAATAAATTTTGTGAAAATAAAAAGGCAAAGAACAATCACCAGGGTGCGCTAATGAGTAAAGGGGGTCGTAACTCAACATGTCATCATTGTTCATCGTTACAAGCGTTTTTTAGAAATCCTATGACTTTATTTGCAGTTTATCTCTCTCAAATTAATACGAGAGAATACCTAAGGAATCGATAGAAAAAGGTGATTCGATCCACGGGAAGTGCTAGAGGGTAAAAAGTACGTGCAACTCACTAACATACAGGGTGTCCATAAAGTCCTTTACAATTTCGATTTTAATATAAAATCAATTCACAATATTTTTCAAACAGGTTTGTTGTTTTTTTTATTCAGTAGTTGTATTTTTACTTCATTTAATACATCTGTGAGAACCAAAACAATATATGGTATCGATAAACTCCCTTAGCAGTTTAAGAAAAACTTTATGGACACCCTATATTGTAAATGAGCTGAAGTTTTCAAATTTTTAAAAAGAGATTGCTCTACTTTGTCGTTTTTGCAAACAGAATTTTGAAAAACTAATCTTTTCCAATATTTAGAAATATTGTTATCCTAGTGTCAGGCTTCACTTTAGGTCGACACTAAACTCTCCTTTTTGTTGCGTTTCAGTTGTAATTTAAACAAATTTTGTCTCGCGCAACACCTCAAAAATACCTAGCTAACAATAAGCTATAAATAACAGATAGTGAAGCGAAGATATGTTTTATCATGAAAAAAATACGTGTACATAACAAAGAAATGGTGAATATCTAAAAAAAATAACTTACATTAGAGACAAATCTCCTTTACTTGTGAGTTAGTGCGCGTAACTCAGAGGTGATTCTACTTTACCTATGAGTGGTTGCGCGTGACTTTACTTCGACCGAATTTCTCAAAACGAAAGTCATAATTGTATTATTTTTATTTGCGCTAGTGTGGAAAAAGTACCACTTGACCACAAGATGCGCCAATGGGTAAAAAAATAATTGTAACCACCCAAACATTCAGTTAGTAAAAACATTTTTTGTTTCCAATCGTCAGTTGATACTTTTGTGAGCTCATAATGCGTGGGAGACAGATTGAATAACAATATGGGGAATGTATCAACATTAGAACAAAGAATTTGTAACAATTTGAAAACAAAAGTTGAATAAAACAAAAGGATTTGATAAAGACTGATAAATCATGTGATATTTGGACGTTAAAAACAATTAAGCAATTAGAAATTAATTACACCTAACTACAGATGGGCCTGAGATAAAGCTCAAATTTTATTCATGGCCACACATACGCATATGTGTGGGTAGTTTGTCAGTTTTATATAGGATATATGATTAAATAATTTCAAACTGGGGTTTATATTTCATGCACGGCCTACTATACATGTTATATATAATTTGTGACATTGGATTAGAAATATTTTTACAAATACAGCTGTTCTTTGAAGGTAATTGGAAATGAAACACAAGCGTTGGGTGGGTTGACTTGACTTTTAGTCAACTTTAGGTTGACTTTTACGCACGTCCTAATTAATATACGAGTATGTGCAGGTTTTAAAATTTGATAAAAGCCTATCAAAATGATCGTGTCGCCTTAATGAACTGGATATTTCCAATCGGTAATGGTCCCCATGTTGGGGGAAAAATTCGCCAAGCGTACGTAAGGAGTATGCGACGGGAGTCTATCAATCTGCATTGCCTGCTAAATTTTATTACGCTCTGTTTGGGTTTGATAAACTAAAAGTTGCAAATTGCTACGAATCGCTCGAAACAAGGTTTCGTAAAGAAAACGCTATTATTTCGCAGAGCAGCCATAATCCCATTTCGCATTACTATGATAAATGGGCTACACCATGTGTGGGGCTTGGAATCACCTTGGGTGAGCAAACAAATTACCACTTTTAACAACACCTTTGAATTTCAAAGGTTTTGTTCGCTTTCCCGATTGTGAAATCAGTTTTATTTATTTTGTTTTCATCAATTATTTCATCGTCTTTTATGCTAATTACGTAGTTGAAATAAACGTATACTTCTATTTTTACGTGCGCTTCGATTGGGCAAACATGGTCACAGGATATTTTCAAACATAGGTGTATTGGAATTAGAACGTAATAAGGAAAATCGGAATAAACTTATGCATTTTACCCTAACCTGGTACACACACTACTGGAGTACCTCTTGTCATTCGCTTGCTTCAATTGGGCAAACGTGGTCACTGTATATTCAATTCAGATACCTCAATTAAAATAATCTGTCTATAAACAACGTGTATGTTTATACCCGCTACACAAATCCTATGTATTAGATACAATACCCGGTGTCGGATGATAGGAAACGTTGCATTCTTTTGAAATTTTGAAAAGTAATACAAATAGCAAACAGTTTGTGAGAAAATTGTGTAATTGATCTATTCCCGTGGTGCGTTTTCCTAATCGGACATGGAATGGACCTTTATACGTTGATATGTTGTTATTGTTGATGAAAAAAAAAAGCAATTTATAATACACAAAGGGTACTCCCTGTGCGTACCAGGTTATGGTTAAGTCATAATTTTATTCCGTTTTTCCTTATTTTAGTTCCGTTACGAGTTTGGGGACTGTCTGTGTTAGCCAAGTGCATATATCCCCTACCCATAGAATTCAGTCCTATTACACTACTTGATGTAAAGTTGTCGAACAAAATTAGTTACTTCTATATAGTTATACATACTTCTGGAGCGTCCTTTGGAACACAGCGCGCACCTGTGATTTCCATATCTAACGTAAAAGCAGACAGGTATCATCTTTTCTCTACGCAGAATAAGTTGTTCCACCAACCATGGTCCAAAGATAAACCGCGTCTGAATGCTTACTTTATATGCGGTCATCACATGGCCATGTGTAGAGATTCAAATGTATCTAATCCACTAATAGTAACACGAGAGTTGGATAGAATTACCTCTGATCTCACCGCGAACCGTAAACACTTGAGTGAATCCTTTTGTAAACTTTGTGGCCAATTGAAAGGGTATTGGATATGTAGATAACTAAACTAAGGGAAGGCATGCTTCAATTATATATGATCATGCATTGCCTGTTGCGGAAATATGCTTTCGAAGTATTGCTCGTAGGAGAATTGGATTTCGAATGAGGATTTTCTTCAGCCCATGCTGGGCAAAGGATCTAAACTTTATCATGAAATTATGTTGTATGTATGTTCCAATGTTCCATAGAAGATATAAAAAAATAATTTTTCTGTATCATACATATCATGCAGCTTAAAACGCTTTCTAAACCCCAACACTCTTGAAACCCCACGTTTTCCAGCCTTCTGCAGAACACGCTAACTGTTACGGTCATTAATAGAAATTCCAGGACCTCCGCTTCGAAAATTCCTGGTGACCGTACATTTGAACCCATGTACATTTGAACCCATGCGTATATCCACGGGTTCAATCTATATGCGGGTGCTAAAACCCATGGGTTAGGGTTAGTATGGGTTTAACTATCCGTGAAACAAAAAAAATTCCATAAGTGCAATAGCATACAGGTGCAATTGTCATGGGTTCAAATGTACGTGGGTTCAAATGTAATGGAACCAAAATTCCTAGCTACGGCTTTTCACGATAAAGGCCATTCTATACCGACGTTCAGCGTGAAAGATGTCACCAAAAAATACTAGCCGCTTTTCGGCGTTACCCTAAAAGCTACTCAAAACGTACCCCATTGTGTTCTAACCCAGGGTTTGGTAAGGTTTTTGAACCAGGGGCCGAAAATATTGCCCACTTAGACTGGCGTGTCGGTGTGACGTAAAAAGTTACATTTTATGAACAATATTCACAGTGTTACAAAGCAAAGGTGGAAAACCATAAACCCCGCCATCTCGAAAATTCCTTGAGCTGTTTTAGCTGAAACATCAACATTTGATTTCAGTTTGGCTGTGGTAGTATCAGGCGGGCCAGATTGAAATGTCCTGCGGGCCGTACTTTCCCATGTCCGTTCTAACATGTAATAAAAAAGGTCGATTCTTGACAACTGTTCGTTGAAAATTGGCGACCTCACGAAAGCCGAAACAAAAGAATTGGAATTCCTTTATGTAGTTAATACAAAGCACAATATATTAAATTACTTGGACGATACATTTATCGTGTTTACGCGCCTATTGGATACAATCGATTAGGATTTATTGTTTACAACGATGTTGTGACTTATGTTTTGCTCAAAGAAGTCTCTGGGCTAGGTTCATATTAAATTATCTTATTCTGGGCATATCATATTGGGTTGCGCTTATTAAATGCATTCGAAGTGGTGCCCATCTGTTTATTATTAAATTACTTTCTTGCCTAATAAGGAACTCTTTATTACTCCCATACTATGCTTAGAAACTACTTTATATATTCAACCTTGAATGGATCCACAGCTGGTTTTATGGGTGCTTCAGAAGTATTCGTACCAAGATGGCGCACAACCTGAACATAGTATGTGCACCAGGTTAGGGTTGTTCAGGTTGTGCGTCATCTTATCATGAATACCTCTGGAGCGCCGTTTTATACGCTATTAGCAGTTTAAGTTGTTTATGTGAGGATGTATAGGCATTATATTAATAATGAAGAATATTAGTAGTTATACGACAGCAAATACTAAGCAAAATTCTTCCCATCGGACATTCTGACGACACAATAACATAATAAAGTTTGGACCTTTTGCCCTCCGTTGGCAATTGCTGAAGAAAATCCTAATTCAAAATCCAAATTATTTTACGTAGAAAACTTTGACAGCATATTTTCACAGCAGTCAATGGCCGTATATAATTGAAGCATATAATCCTTTATTCCACATATCCAGTCAATCAGTTATAAAGTTTAATTTATTATTTAAAATCCTAAATAAAAATCCAAATTCGTCTACGGGCAATATTTTGAGAGCATGTTTTCACATTGGGAAGTGCATGGCCGTGTATGATTAAAGCACAAAATTCGTTAGTTTAGTTATCTACATATCCAATATCCATTCAAACAGCCACAAAGTTTACAAACGGATTTTCTGAAGTGTTTACGGTTAGCGGTAAGATCAGAGGTAACTCAATCCAACGCTCGTTTTCGAGTCGATTAGATACATTTGATTCTTTATACATGGCCATGTAATGGCCGCATATAAAGTCAATCGCTTATCCCTAATTTAGCAAAAAGGTACGCAAAAAATTTGAATCTATTTTTTTCATTTTAAGGTATTAGAAGAAGCTTACCACACGCTGCGCTTGTGTAACGATTTTCTTTTTAACGCTCTTGCTAGAGTCGATTAGATAAATTTGATTCTTTATACATGGCCATATGTGGACCGAATATACTACGAGCGCTTGGACTCGGTTTATAATTGGATTGTACTTGGTTGGGCATAACTTTTTATGGGTATTGAATAGGTCAGTGCCTCTCAACCGGTGGGACGCGTCTATTCAAGGTCGGTCGCAAAGTATTACCACATGTTACATATAGTTTTCATTTAGATCGGTATATTGTGACATAACCATTACATAACAATTATGAAACAATGTAACAATTAAAATTAAGCGTCGTTATCAGATTTGATCTGATGATATACAATAATATGCAAGATTAAGCTTCGCATTTATAGTAAATTGCATGGAAATAGAATGTTTATTTCTCATATAATAACATCTCATTGTGGGTCGCACGAAAAAAATGGGAATGTGGGTCGCGAACTGAAAAAGGCTGGGTAACACTGGAATAGGTGATACTCATCTGTTTTAATATATCGGAGGCGGAATTTACAGGTGCGCATTGAGTTATAAAATGCGCGCTAAATTTAAAACTAACCCTAAATATTGACTCAAGAGGGTTGCTACACACTAACACCAATTTATTCCTGTAACCTTTCTTTCGTCCGGCCAAAGTAAGACGATTCAAGACTTTATAGCAAGAATAAAGATAACTATTCTAACCGATTCAAAAAAAAAAAAACTTGGTAGGCAATCAATCACCTGACTAAATGGGACTAACTCTGACATGGGCAAACTAGGACTCATGGGCCAAGTCTCACCCGTTGGGTAATTCAATCTAGCCCGCTAGATGCCGCCACAACCAAATTGAAACGAAACTTTGCGGTGCTCCCGAAGTATGCGAACCAAGATGGCGGACATCGGAACGTAACATGGGTAACAGGTTAGGGTTAGGCGATATTTTTTTTCCAATTTTCCATATTTTAGTCCTATTATCAGTTCGAAGACTAGCCAAGAGCCTCCCGTAGTATTTATACCTAAAATTATGGCCTAACCCTAACCTACTACACATATTACATTCCGATGTCCGCCATCTTGGTTCGCATACTTCGGGAGCCCCGACGTTTTAGCTAAAAAAATAACTCGAGGAATTTGTTGAGATTACGATCAAATTCAGTTTTGGCACGAGGATTTCCACTTGCTAACACTGTAAATATTGTTCATAAAACTTTTTACGTCACACTTCCATGGCCCAACATTCTAGGTGGCCCCTTTTGGCCCCTGGTCCTAAAACCTTGCTCACCCCTGGACTAACTATTATCATTCTTTGCAAATTTGCAAATCGTGTTCGCATCAAAATTTATTATTTCAAAAAATAAGTTGAAAAATAAATGAAAAGTGCAGTTTAAATAATTATGTTTGTACATTGCAATAAAAAAAAAACAGAAATTTACATGAAATTTGAAATAATGGTGTTTGTAACAACATAGTTTGACCGAAGGACGTTTTGAGCGTGAGTGAGCTGTAAATGCTGCCGGGTTTAATTTGTTATACGGCATATTGATAGCCTTCAGCTGTAACTAGCAGTCACTAAAGTTATTATAGGTTTGAAGAGACATTGCCTACTCAATTTATTACACGCTGGAAGAAGTGGTGGATATAGATTCCAATACAGCTTAGTCTTTCACTAAAACAACTTAGTTTTTGAGTTCGGTAATCAAGTAATATAAAGTAAATAAAGTAAACGATTTGGAATATCGGACTTGCAAACATAAACGAATCGAGTAATTCTACGCAAGTGGTTCGAAGTTGGAATTTGAAACGGTCTGAGTTGAAAAGCAAGTTTGAAATATGTCGAAACGGTTTAGAATACTTAACTTGCAAATATGGGTAAGAGTGTGTACCAATATGGAGGTAACTAATTTTGTTCGCCTACTTTACATCAAGTAAAAGGGACTAAAGCCTATGGGTAGGGGGTATATTCACCTGGCTAACATAGACAGTCCCCGAACTCGTAATAGAAGAAAATAGGGAAAATTGGAAGAAAATTATGGCGTAACCCTAACCTGGTACACACACTACGGGAGTACCCATTCTACAAACTAATTTCAAGCCTTCAAAATATCGCTAAGCTAGATAACCTATTAGGGTTTAACACGTTTTCGAGAAACCCGTCTAGGCAAATCACTCATTCAGTTCAGTTGGCTAAGTTGAATCAAGGGTTTCAGACTTATTTCAAATAAATTGGCACAGAAAATACCAGAGGCTTTCCGTGTAGAGACTTGTTTTGAAAATGTGAAAATATGGAAATACTACATTAGCAATACATATGTAAAAACAGTTCTATGGCTTAGTTGAAAATTAAGTTTGAAAATAATCAGCTCCATACGTTTAACTTAACGTTTAAGTTTGGCTAATGCATTCCTAGGTATTAACTAAAAAAGAATAAAGTAGTGCTACTTAATAGCAAAAACAAATTAATAAAGAAATTGAAGTAAAATTAGTTGGAACAGAAATAAGAAGGGAAATTACACGCAAAAATCTTTCCTCGTAAAGTTTCACAATGAAATATTCCACCCGGAGAAAATCAATTCTAATCTATAAATTAAGAGAATTTTTTAAATGAATTCTTTGTATAATGTCTAGTCATTTTCCAATACGTGATATTTCAGGATCGAATCGGATATTTTTTCGAATCGAATCTTGAATATTACTCACTCAGAAACAAAGAAGACTCATCTCTGAACAATGTTACAGCAACTCACTCATGAGTGAACGAGGCTCATCTCTGAGGGAAGTTATGCAAACTCACTCAGAAGTAGACTCATCACTGAGCAAAAGCGAGTGGCAAACGCTGAACAAATCAAGAGCTACTGAAACAACATAGTTTCTTACACAGCACAATCTGTCTTTTTTAAGCCCTATATAAAGCAAAGGCGCGAAACACATAAATTATTCCAGATTTTGACAAAGTGAACCCTCATAAGTTGGTGATCATGCGCGTGCCCATATCTTCATGAATGCTCGGCTGTTTGCATGAGAGATACGTATTTGGATTTTGAGTATAATCGACGCTATTTTGAGAACTTGGAAATATGTTTTGTCCGAAACACCCCATTTGAGGGACATTTCTGCCCCCAACGTTCACGGGCATTGATGAATAGGTAGAATTTCCTACCATACCCGTTCTATAACCAGCTGGGGCCGAAATTAACTTTTCCTCTGCGTCCGTAAAATCGGACCGAGATGTCCCATCACTATGTCCTATACTTGATAATGGTGAAAGTTGGTAGTCCGTAGATGTATCGTAGTCATTGGCACATGCGTCCGAAGTTAACCTTTCAACTTCAAAGTCGGTTTCGTCCCTGCTGTGGTCCGAAATTATCGATGCTGTGGGATGCCAGTGCTCTTTGTGATTTCGGACGCTGATAGGTGGATTCGGAAGCCTTCGTTTGTGAACGCAAATAGGTTCTTCGTAATACGGCTCTTTGGGAAGTGTTTCATGTATGCTTTGGCAAGTATGTATGGACGGAGATGCGTTTTCTAAGGACGAACCCGCACTGCTGGTGATGCTGCAGTCAGTAACTATTGGATCGTCCGATTCGGAACTCAGCGATTTACGGCATCTTCGGACATTTTGTAGTCTCGATGTAGGGTTAGTACGATTGCCTGCTACATTGTTTCTAGCTGCGCAATTTTGAGCCACTTCGGACCTTTGAGTATTCGAACTTGAATATTGTAAATCATTGTGTCTTTCGTCGTCCGAAGATACCAATGGGCAATTCTGATTGGATGACAAAATTTCGTTCTCGATTCTGATTGGCTGAGACAGTCTTCTGGCTGCCGAATCACTGGGCGAATAAATGTCTCGTTGTGAATTCTCTAACCTGATTGACTGAGACTGCCTTTGTATGATCGGTATATTGGGACCATTGGCATGGTATATCAAATTATCATGCGACCTTTTTGCATCGTGTTCCATATTAGGTAGAATCGAATTTTGTGGTAAATTGTTTATACTTATTCCAGAGTCTCTTTTTCTATTTACTATGTTGTCATCGTAACTACTTTGTCGTTCGGGGTAGCGCTTTAGATGATGTTCATTTCCGCATTGATGGATAGCTTCCGCAAGCCTTGGAGTCGAACTATGAGCTGTAAAGTTGTTAACATGAGATTGGGTGTTGGCCATAGCGTGATGGTGCGTACGGCAGTCGTGCTGTGCGACCGTAGACGTACGGTTATCTCCATTGTAATGTCTAAATGATGGTGGTATTCCGGTATGGAATCTCCCAGGTGGGGGGTGCGGGTGAGAATAAAATGGCGCCTCCTGGTGTCGGTGATGTTGTAAACGATCATACGAAACTTCATTCGGGCTGTTTTGTAACATTGTCTCATTTTGGTGATGTGGGTGGGATTCGAACTCAGATTGCAAGGGAAGGAATACTTCGTCTTCCTGTTGCAGTGTATGATTTTGTTGCAGATTACGAGTAGAGAAACCTCTCGTGCCCATCGTAACACGGCTGGAATCTGTAGTATAAAATAGAAAGTTTAATGCAATGAGGTTTTACAATAGATCAGTATGTGCTGAAAGCCATGGAAGCTTTTCATTTTAAAGAAGTGTTTTAAAAATTAGGGGGTGGTGAATATTTTGCTTTTAGCGATAATACTATTTGTAACTTATAAAATTGTGGTATGTGTTTGACAGATCATCTACATCAGGGTCGTTCAACCCGTGGCCCGCGGGGCATAAGTGGCCCGCGGTGACATTTCGAGTGGTCCGCGCTGTATTTTTCAGAATTAAATAAAAAAAAATTGAAGCGAAACTATTTTTCGAGTGATGTAGTATACAAAGATTTGATACAAACGATTTGTTTATTTTCCTGAAATGCGCTCTGTCGGCCCTTTCAAACGAGCCATTAGTGCCATTTTGAATCGAAACCAACTGGAAGGATATATCGATAAATAAAGGAGCCGCTTAAGGAGGGGGGATTACAAGGTTAACGAACGGATGATACAAATCAGGGATAGATTTTAATAGAATAGTAAATAAAGTACATAGAATCCCATTTCAACTAGGCACAAAAAATTCCGGTAGCATCGATAGGAAAGAGAAGCCTAGGCATTGAGAGTAATAATATTGAAACCCACATTACAACCAATAAAACATAATATGACGCGACCAATTAATGACGTCATACTTATAAAAGAAACGTAATCAACAAAACATAATGACGTAGACAACATTTAGTCATACAAGGCATATGACATCGCTCATTGATGACATCACAACATTACATCAGCCCCACATTTTCACATTCAACGGTAAGCATATGACGTAACGTTGGACAAAATATTACATCTCTCATTATTGACGTCACTAAACATACGTCATGCCCAACATTTAACGGCATGCCAATGCGAACCTGGTATTATAATAGTGTGTCGTTTGCAAGTTGGTACAATAACCATATGCCGTCTCACAGGTCGGGGCTCCGTGGAACCGAATATTGCCGGTTTATCGGGCTTATGAGGCGTTTTATCAACAGAGTAGAAATAAAGAAAGGATGATGTTGAATTGGAACGATCGCGGAGTGAGACTCCTTGCATAGTTGAGAGTTCTCTTGAGAGAGATTGAGTAACTGCATCCATTCCATAAGAAAGCAGCGTGGGGAAAAAATTGTCAAAATTGTGATGAATCGTTAGAAATATTAAACAAAGCATCCAATATTGACCCAAAAATGGGAAAACAAACTTATTAGGTTCATACATTTAAATGAGTATCAAATTGAATCATTTTGGAACATTCCTGGCAAATTGCGTTTTCTTAGCAATACGCCGATGTATATTCTTACAATGAAATATGCCAGAGAGTGCACTGCATTGGTTAACCCTTGACTACCAGAGCACCGCACACCACCCTCACGTTTTCATTGGTGTTTATAGCGCAAATCAAGTAAATTGCAAGAACGCATCACGGTGTTTCTCATTTCTAAATATTGATTCATGTCAATAATTTATGTGGCCAATTGTATTTATTTTATTCCCATACGCATATATTCCTACCTCTGTCGTGAAGAATATTCGCTGAAATTTTAGAACCAGCCATCGGTGATGATTCGGTAGCTTTTGGTGCAACAGTCTCATTCCACATTATTTGAAGCTGGCTCTGTGCCTAGTTAAAAGAAGAAAATATTGGTATTATGTATATTCGTTACTTGCACTAATTTCATTTTGTATTTTACGTTTGACCAAAGTCGGTTATAGCTATTTTTTGGCGGTCCCGTAGTATGTCAACCAAGATGGCCAACACTGGAACGTAGTATGTGTATCAGGTGATGGTAAGGTCATAATTTCATTCCAATTTTCTTTATTTTAGTTCTATTACGAGTTTGGGGACTAGCCAAGTGACTCCCGTAGTTTTTGTATCTGAAATTATGCCCTAATCTTAATCTGGTACACATACTACTTTTCGGTGTCCACCATCTTGGTTCACATACTACGGGAGTACCATATTTTCCAGCCATTAAATTCTTAATACAGAATCTTGTTCAGAGTGAAATCACTGAAACACGAGAAAAAGATATTTCGGCGTGAAGAAAACGCAATAAAAGCAGGATAAGACAGTGTGAAACGTTATTAATGTATTCAAACAATCCAATTTGTCTATCAGAGGTTACGCGAGACTAACTCCCAATCCTTCAATGCTTTTGCGCGAGTGGATCCGTATGGGTATCATGTAAGGATGCTGTAACAGGAATAAAATACCATAATGTGAAATTCAAGAGCTTTGCTGCACACTAACACAAATAACGTTGCGTTCGACCAAAATCAGACATCCTCAGACAAGCAGTTCACAACGTAGTCCAATTGATTACTTACATTTTGACTAGCTTGGCAAGTCAATCCATTTGGTAACGTCCTCTCGGGTGTATATCGCTTTGAGAACGACATGCTGTTACTTGCATAAGTCCCTCGTTGCATTCTCTGGCAACATGTAATTGAGTCGAAAGCCCTTTTATATTCCTCGCGTATCTAAAGATGACAAAATTCAGTTACGTCAATAATTACGTCATATAGCGTTTTGGGTTAAACAAAACCAAAAGAGAAGAATATTATCAAAATGGAGTCACAACTACTGAATTGCAAATTATTGACGTCTTCATTAATGGCATCACAAATGACGTCATCAGTAACGTTATTATATTGGTAGTTTGTGAGAGCACCGTATAATATTCAATAGAATCTCAAAATCAGATTTTCGCTATGACGTCATTAGACAATGATATTATAACAATCAATGATGTTTGTAATATTCAATGACGTCATAAGAACTCACCTTTCTTGGTAATAAGCAGTGGAATATAAATATAAACATTCCTTGAAATGCATTGAATATGCAGAACAAATAAGCCACGACTGTCATGTGTTCGCTGATCCATAAGAAACCAAACGCCCAAGTTATTCCGAGAAGGCAGAGAAGAACAGACGCCCCACGAACTGACGCTCTGAAACAGAAAGATCGGTTTGGGTTCAGTAAAAATATATATGAAAAATCGATCTATTTTTTCGCTATTATACCATCAATCTGGGAATCTCATATATCCGAGAATAGGAAAAACATTTAGCTTTACGTCAAAATTTGCTCTCCATAAATTCAGATCTCCTGTGGAATGGCGGGGTTATATTGATTAATTGGATACGTAGGCAAGATATTTAGCTGACAATGTCAACGTATATTATCTAGTGGTCTTACCTTTGGGCCACATGCCATTTGTTGAATTTTCAACGCCTAAGTTACAATGAATTGGAACATTCCGAACATTTTAAAATTAGTAGCATCTTACGTATCAGTCTTGTTCAAAATGAAAGCGTGGAGTAGTCTGTTGATTGTGAAGTAAAAGTTGCTTTCTTACCTATCAGAGACTTGTAATGAGACTTGTTCGAAGCGGAAACATGAAAATTTCCTATAAAAACGAAGCAAAAACTCTAACTTACTTGATTGAATTTATCTTTCCAGAATCAGTGAACGACATCGTATGAACGTACATCTTATATACAGTGATTGAGAGGAAAACGAGGTTTAGTAGAATAATGACTAGTATGGGACCTGCGAAACTCCAAATGAAACCGGAATCGAATTCCAACCAACAGACACTGTCTGTCCCATACCCTGCGTGATCGATACCAGCAGACACGCCGACAATTAAAGCTGGAACGCCTGCAATAAAAAGTAATGTTGAGTGAATGAAAATAAATTCAGAGGATTGAGTTTACAGGGTGCCCATTCTTTTCAGCTTGGGAAATTAATTAAAAACCTGTAAAGAGACTTTATGGGCACCATGTATAGCTTATACGTCTTTTTACAAGTATAAGCTATCCCACTTAACATATAATATAAAAAATATAAATTAAAATATCCTTTACAACCATTTATTAAACATAGTTTTGTTATATGTATATTTATGGACATTTGTTTGCTTGGGCAATTATCTCAAAATCTTTATGCCATTTAGTCCAACACTTAAGTAAAAGATATATCGTGGGGGTTTCTATAACCTTCCAGTCGTTAAATTTTTTTTCCTTAAATATCATGTGGCTTATTGCTAGATTTATTACAAGCAGTCTGAAGAGGGTTCCAGATGCCAGAAGCCAAGCATGTAAATATTGTCTTTCAAAATTTACGATGTCACCGAAGTAATATTATTGCCTTCCTGCCCTGCATTCATTTCAGCTAACAATATATGATCTTACTATATTTTGAAAGACACAAATTATTTCTAGTTTGGCATTATCTATCGGTTTTCTATCCAATCTATATCATGCATGGTAAAGTGGTGGACACGGGGTTTGAACCCGGGAACTTCAACTTACAACACTATCAAACAAACTCACCATATCCAACAAGGTAATACCATTTCCATCTTGAACTGTTCGCTTCAAATACTTCAACTAACATGACGTAAAGTTGAAAGCCTTCCAATGTCATCCAACAGAAAGCAGCAAGAAAGAAATAATGAAGCGAACCAGCAATGATCGAACAAGCAATTTTATTCTGCGTTTGGTTGATTCCGATTAGAAATATCGTTTCAGCGATGAGAAGGCAGATGCAGAGGTGCTTGTGGATTGTGTTGCGATCGTTGTAAAGGTTTCTGGAAAAAAGGAAATCGAAAATTTTGATTACTGTAAACTACAGCTGTTCTATGGGGTGCAAGAAAGGTGTGTCGATTAGAACAGTGGCTCCCAATCTCTCTGCCCCGGCGGACCGGCGATAAAATATTGAATTGTACAAAAGAGCAAACAATAATTGATGTTTGAGTGACATACTCAGAAAAAATTACAAAAAACTGAAACATTTAGGATATCTAAGGAGGTGCTGTAAAAATATATGAAATGGACTAAGTCCCCTTTCATTCTATTCTCGTCGTGAAAGTCGGCAGGTAAATCATGAGTCTAAACAAAGCTCCAGTTGTGTTACCTATGTATGGTGCTATCGTTTGACTTCTCGCGTCAGTGACGTTATTAAAAGGCGTAGGCTGGGCGTGTCTATGAAACTATATCCCTTTGTTCTATTTAAGCTTTGACACAGTATCGTAAGGTCCAAAGATGACTTTAGACAAGCAACTATTTACTATGACTGGGCAATTCGAATCAATTGGAGTAGTTAATCATTCGAATTGGTTTAAATTTAAACGAAAATTCAGAATTGCCGCCATCTCGTTTTTAATATTCGCCAGAGGTTAAGGTGAGGGTTGGAACCCACCCGTCTTTTATAAATGTGAAAAAGAGCATTTCTCTGTATCATGCACAAACGGGGCTTTCGATCCTTACTTCTCCCTGACTGCGCCTCTGCCAGCATTTTTACCTAGCAGTGGATGGTTGTGCATAGCCTTGTTTGGAGCGATAGCGTTTATATACCTCCTATAAAATACAAATTTCATCTGGAATATCTGGAAACTGGCAACGGTTATAAACATTTCAATTGTTATGGTTTTTGTTTCAATGTTTTCAAAACATTCGCGACGAAGTTCCGCTTAGCGACCGAGGAATTTTAAACAAATACTAAATTGTTATCTCTCGTGGCTGAGTTTGTTTTTGGAAAACTCCTTTTATTTGATAAAAAAAGTACATGACATTTCTAAAGTAAAGGCTGTGTTATCGATGGCTCATTTTTTACAACGCTCATACGCGATATTTGCTCAGAATAATACCGTCTTGTATGAACCATAAATAGTTATAAAACAAAAACTAATACTGGCAAAACTAAATGATCTTCTAATGACAAACCAAATAGGCCATTCGGTAATTGTGACGTCAAAGCTTACCTGAAATAACAGAACGTAAAGATGCACATTACGAGGCAGACAATAGAGATACAAATTCCAATACTCGTTATGATGTCAAGCACTACGTCATCAATCGGTGCCATGGTAACTCCCGCGTGATTTACAAGAACTGCAAAACTTGTCAGATGATCGCATTCGCAGGTTGTATGGGTCTCGTTGTTCTCTATCATTCGACAACCAGTGTCGCTCCAGTTGCCAGAATTTGTGCTGTAATAGAATAGAATAATGTAATGATTGTAATAGGGATTTGAGTAGTAAGTCCGAAGACAATTTATCTCGAACTATTTTTGTTAATTTCCACTGGGGATAAATTTACCATTTCAAAGAGTACTCTCGTGGTATGTGTATCAGGCTAGGGTTAGGGCATAACTTTATTCTGATTTTCTTTATTTTAGTTCGATTACGAGTTCGGGGACTGTCTGTGTGTTAGCCAAGTGAATATACCCCCTGCCCATAGGCTTCTGTCCCTTTACACAACTTGATGTAAAATAGATGAACAAAATGAATGTACATCTTAAAAGGTTAATTGTACCTGTATTTGGTGTATATTTTGCAAACTCTGATAAAGGAGACTTGGAACTGTTTCAAAGTCAACCCTATCTGATCACATTTATGTTGAATTTTTTCATCCCTTTTAGCGTGACATTTCTATCAATACTCTTATTCGATACTTCCCTTTGGGCTAACTTGTATATGCAAACACTCATTGAAAACTACTTTCAACTTATCAAAACTTATTACATGGATATTATCACACGAATATGACAAGCAAACTACACTAACCTTTCCGAGTAATCCCAGTAGACGCAGCGGTGTGGCAGGTGTGACGGCTAAAAATAATATTACACATTTAATCCAAATAGGAAAACGAGATGATAAAGTGTTTATGGTAAATCAATATATAATGGAAGATTATAAATTCTGACAGTACCAAATAATCTTCGCGGTAATGTGTAAATTTGTGTAAATTCTGGAACACCAAAAGAACAAAGAAAATGTACATTTTGAGTAAACCTTGTGTGCGAATTGCAAAAAACTATTTATGTGATAAATGGGACACAATATATTTATTTGCATAATATTCATCACTACGTTGCAAATCAGATCGCATCGCATAAAAGTACAGGGATCCCAGAAATGGCACATAAAAAATTAGAAACCTACATTTTCGGAATAACACACAACAAAATTATGTATGTGGTTATGTTCATTTTTTTGCGCAAAAGTACGGCTCGAGAACACACCAAGAACTTAACAACAATGAGTTACATGATATCATGTATTGCATTGCGAGTTTATATATGGTCTAACTAGGAGGCTATGTTACAGCACAAAGAATTTTTCTTGAAATCTTTTCAATGTCCATTTAGCTGCCTAGGCAGATCCAAGCTTAGATCGGGATTGTAAAAAAGCATAAAAAAGCATAAAAATAAAGATATGTTCGTGAACCCACCTTCTTATGTTGGAGCACGATTACGGCAGGTTTATCCAATTTTGTCTGGAATCCATGACCTCTAAAAGTTGCTGATATGACCTTGGAGTCTATTTTCCACGATGTGACCTCATCGATGACGTCATCACTTGATTGGTCGAGAAAATCACCAAGATTTTGGTACAACGCAAAAACGACGGTCGCTGGACCTAAAATGGAAGACAAAATGTTTGATTACGAATAGCACAACCGATAATAATTAATGAAACGTGAAGAGACAGAACAATCTATGTTCGCTACAGATGGTGCAGATGCTAACGGTTCTGTCTGAATAATTTTCAGGCTAGAATGAGGTCATATTCCACAAAAGTAAATATTTTCAACGTTTTTTACCGCAAACGCATTTAAACTTGGGTCACAAAAAAGATAAAGAGTCCCTGATTGTGTAAAGCTTTGTTTGGAGCGTATCTCATTGGGCGTTCCAGAAGTATGTGCAAAAGATGGCGCACAACCTGATAACCCTAACCTTGTATTCTTGTACACATACTATGTTCAGGTTGTGCGCCATCTTAGTGCACATACTTGGTACGTCAGTGTTCACCTAAAACTCTTCTATTAGTAATAACAAATTAATAATACTAATTGCACGATCGGAACCAATGAAACATGACGAGACAGAATAATCCATGTTTATTTCAAATGGTGCCAATGCTGGTGATTACATCTGAATTATATTTTGACTAGAATAGGGTCATAAATAAGAACCGATAATTTCAAATTAACTTTTTTTAACTGTAAACTTCATTTGGAGTGGATTCTAATAAAAATTTTCTACATATACCGCTTAGCGCGTCAGTGTTCCCCAAAAATTTAACTATCAGTAATTTTTTTGGGAAGTCCTAATTTTTTTTAAAATTGCAAATTGAATTCATCGATACCATATATTGCTTTGGCCCACCCAGGTGCATAAAATGAAGTAAAAATACTTAAACAGTTACTGATTAAAAACCAACAAACCTGGTTAAGGTATATTGAGAACTGACTTCATAACAAAATTGAAAATGTAAAGGGACTTTATGGACACTCTGTTTAATGATTTAAATGTACTACATAGTAATGGTAATAAGTGTAGCTATCATAAACCACAATATCTTGAAAGCGTTAAATAACGATTTAATGGCATTATCATAATCGCGAGAAACGCTTTTAGACACAACTCCCAGACAATTTAAATATCGTTCAATATCTAAAGGTCGAAGTTGAACGGTAGATAAGCAGAGACAAGCGCAAAGCAAATGTGCGGCCGTAGAGGATATATTTTAAACACTAAGCATTTCCCAAAGGTGTATTTAAAGCGCGTTGCGATTTGTACAGCATGGTATTTGTAATGGCAATTCGATTGCCTATTGTAAAGCGAGACGAGGCCAACGTATAACAAATAAGGCCATATAGCAGATATAAGTAAAACACTTCGCGTTACCCGAAAGCTTATTAAATCGTGCAAAACCCGTTAAAATCCACCAAAAACACATGATAAAACGTGCAAAAACTGTTGGAAATCGCCAAAAAAAAACTCGAAAAAAATGCAAAAACCGTCAAACCCGTTGTAAATCGCCAAGAAAAAAACTTGATAAAACGCACAGAAACCGTTCAAATTCACCAAAAAAGCTCGATAAATCGTACAAAACCTGTCAAAAACCACAAAAAAATTGCTAAAACGTGCAAAACCGTTCAAAACCGTTAAATGACACATTAATACCTATCGTTACAATTAGCGTTACAGCAAAGAATTCGTAATGATAATTAGATTGCCTATATATTAATAAAGGTTCCTACCGCCAAATAAGTTAAATTGATATTATAGTAGTCATATATGCTAATAGTTGTCTAGATCAAATAATTGTTCAAATATACTCAAGGAATACGTTTATCATTTGATGTGTCAAAATTTAAAAAAAATACTTCAAAGAAAACTTATCGATACCTTTGTTGTAGGGGTTTACCTCCAGCTTCACTTCGCTCAGGTGTTATGCGGGTATTTATATTGCATATCGGAGACGATTTTTCCGGTTTAGGTAAAGAGAGCGAACCCGAGGCGAGAGTAGCTACCAGTTTTATTAAAATCCTACCTAGGCCTTTTTGTCCCATAATTTCGGAGTCGTGAATTCTTATGACGTCATCACCACAATTTTTCGTGCCAAAAGCACAGGATTCTTCACTTGGAAATGACGTCACAGATTCTGTCGTCATTGGTTCGGATTTTCTTTCCCTGACGTCAACTTGAACAATCATTTTGTCGTTTTCAATTATGAATGGTTCTAAATATATTGAAAAAAACACTTATAAAAAATTAAATAAAGCGATGGTGTTAATTCATAAGAGAATGAGTTGTGTGAGACAATAGGAATCTTGAATTACGTAAAACAGCCATTCTCATATTCTATACAACTTCAAGCAAAGTGAGGTTCCGAGTCTTCGACTAATATTGTTATGAGAGTTGCAAGAGACTGCAGATTTGCTACGAGCAACATATAATTTTTATTTGCAAAAAAGAGATTGATAAATGTTGCCATTGCATTAAAGAAATCCTAATTCTTTGCTTTTATGAAGTATATGAGAAAAAATAATTAAAATGGTTCTCTTTCAAATAAGGTGAATAAATAATGATTGTCAAAAACATTTTGACGTGGTAAGCTGACGTCATTATGACGCATGATACTACACTGACGTCATAACTTTATCCATAATAAACATCGATCAATGAACCGTAAAAAACGCCAGACATTGTGACGTAACAGTATGACGTCACTATTGATGCTAGGCCATAAATGTACCAGAACCACTTCATAAATCTGATCTCATCAAATACAACGCAAAAAGTATTTTGATAATAAAATGACGTCATAATTACGTACCATTATTTCTTGTATCAGGAGGTGTCATAGCAACTGAGTCGGCATAAAGGAACGCAGCCTTTTCAACTTCATTCATCAGTGTATCCGCAATTTCAGCTTTTTTCTTCGTATTCATGTCTTTCATTGATTCAGCAGAATTGAGTATCTTGTTTGCAATAGTTGTCACCGACTAAGAATGTGAAAAAAAATTTGATGAATTCTGTGCAAAGTGTGCGCGGTGGTCTAGTGGTTAACCGTTAAACCTAACTTTGCTGGTATCGCGTCTTATGCTCCATGCCCACCCAAAGTGTAATAAATTGGGTAGAAAATACCCAGATTCCTGTCCTTCTCGTACGGGGTGAATGTAGTATTTCTATTTTAACATGTGGACGCGATGGCCGAGTGGTTAAGAGTTAGACTCGACCGTGCATCACAGGATAAAATCAACCCCCATGTTCACCATCTCACCCAAAGTGTTATAATTGACATTGTCGAATGAGTAGACAATTTCGAACCGGAAAGATTTAGGGTATGGAAATACCATCGCGCCTTCTGCCTGAAAAGCATCTGCACGAACGCCACTGAATTGTAGGAAGATATCTTCATTTGGAAAAACCGACCTTTTCTGGCATGATCTACACAATTTTTCACACCATGAGAGAAGTGGTTCGCATAGAATTTGAACCCGAGTTGTGTGTTCTGTGATGGCAACAGAGTTAAATCTACCACTTTGACAGCTTAGACGAGGTTTGCGCAACCTGCGCTCTACGGAAAACTTGTGCATCCCGCGGAGAAGCGTCAGTTTTTAACTGAGGTTTTTAATTTAATTTAGTATGTGCAAATAATTCCGACCCCTTTGCGTTGCAAAGTCCATACCCAAGTCCTTTAACCGAACAACACATGTCATAAGATCAACAACCAACATATTTGTGTCTGAAACTGGGAGGCCTATGTTAAATGAAGGTGTGGACTGCAGTTTCACCCAGTTATTTGTGTCTGGCCCTCCCGTACTAAAGGTTGCACACTCTTGGCATATAGACCATCACGTTGCCTATGAACTCCATTGCAACGATATTTTCCATTACTTCATACTTTTGTATTCCAACGTCAATGCTTCGTTGAAGCGATGAATATTGGAAATATATTTTACATTACCGTCTTTGCCAATACCACGAAGTAATAATTGAATGATGTGGAATACTAAAACCACAGAGACAAAGCTCCAATAAATTATTCAAATCTTCAAGTCGTGAAACTGAAATGAACGTATAAATGAATAAATTTGTGTAAAAGGGAAGCATTGTAACAGATACGCAGATATGAATGTGGTCCATATTGTTTTTGATAAAATCAATTAAGGACACAAAGTAGATTTGTTTCAATGCTTGCAAGTAACTAGTTCACTAAAAATTGACGCACCGTGAAAATTTCTAATCACAAAATCTGCAACTTATGTCCAATTACGGGAATATTCCCGACTTGTAACATAGCCAGGTGGTACCCAGGGGGCGTGGGACGCATCCCCGTTTAAAAAAAAACTGTTTTCTGTATCATGCATATCAGTTTTCGGTAGTTTGCCACACATTTTAGGCTCTGAGGACTCTTGAAAAACCCACAAGAGTTGCGAGCTGTTACAGTCTAAATTGGCAATTTGAAATTTCACACACACCCTCCCTTCGAAAACTTCTGGCTGCGCCGCTGAACTTAGAATCCAATTTATTACTAATTGAATAAGAGGGTGAACATGTTAAAATAATTAGACACGAGGATCGCGCAACAATACCAGCACAGTGACCTGATAAATTGTGGACATGGGTATGTGACGATCAGACAGTTTAAAGCAGTGATTACCAAAGTTGATTGACCGGGGGCAAAAATAGGAGCGGAAGGATATTCGCGGGCCAGGAGAAGGGAGCGCCCACAAAGGGTACCGGTACCGTTACGTTTTTTAACGTTTTTTTTTTATATAAAATACCGGTATAATTGAATTACACGTGCTTAAACTGTGATAATGACGTAACAATTGGTGGTATCTGGATCGCAAAATAAAACATTAGTATTGAACGCAACGTATAAACTATTTCTACGTAAGTTCGGCGAGCAATATTAAATCGTTACGCGGGCCGCAGATGGCCCGCGCGGTTTTGGAACCCCTGGTTCAAAGCGATCCTTTATTCCCGGCCTTAGCGGAACCAAATAATATTTCTCCAACCGGTGTCTCTCAGATATCTTTCAGTAACCATAATTACTGTAATGATAATAGGTTGTTAACAGATTTGCGGTTTAACTGTTATTTGAATCAAAATTGCCACGCACGTGTCTAGCCTATTCCCATGAGTATAGCAATCAGTAACACTTCTCAATTAGCTAATTCATTATTAACCGTGTACTTGTGAAATTTTGATACTTTGTAAGAAGGTTATTTCAAGTTTTCCGATCCTGTATCCCAAGCCTTCCGGATGCATGCATTAATACGCAAGAATTTGCGAATTTTGAAACAAGAAACACACCTCTTCAAGTAACTCGATATGTGGCCTGATTGTTCGTGACTCAGATACGGGACCCGTAAAAATCATTTTTTTTGTATTTGAACGTCTTTCTAAACAGTCTATTCAACTCAAGAGTACACAAATGTATTTCCGTAACGTTTCGTCTGACCGAAGACAAGACTTCTTCAGACAAGTATTTTACAACTGGGACAAGAAAAGCAATGGCATGCACATAAATACATTTGTCTAAGCGTGCAGCAGGACTCTTGAATTATATATAATAGTCAATTTCATTCTGCTTTATACGCATACGGATCCATCTGCACAAAGGCATAGACCAGGAAAAGGTAATTAGTTTCACGTAACCCCGACTGTTAGTTACGTTTACAAACAGTCTCGCTCGTTTTAGACAGCGGCCGCCAGGTGAAAAGTGGCCATACTTGGCCTGTGGTAAGTATATCCTTTGTCCTGACGTTACGTTTCATGAGATCACTAGAGGTCACATTTACCAGTAACGGCGGATAGGATTAAACCTTAATTCGTATGTGTGTATGATTGGAATACTCCTGGGAATTAGATAGACGCTTGAGGAATTTACTTATTTACTTTGCAAGAGTATTTTTGATGTTTCTTTGCGCAAATTTTTATTATTAATAATATTAGATACCATTTTAATCTAACAGACTATTTTTTGCGACTAAGTTTCATACAAGCCACTTTCAAGACGTGCAACCTTTCCTTCTAAAATTCCATTGTAAAATGGTTTCAATTTTTTAATATCGTTACATTTGAAAAAGTGCTGAAAGATTTGAATTAGTTCGTTAGATCAATAGTCGCGTCTATTTCTGTCTATTTTATCCGGATGGGATCAGTCTTCAATTAGCTGAGCAGATGACTGATGTATGGTGGCCCATCGTTGCCACGCGTAAAATTGAAAATAAAAATAAAAAACCGATAATAAAAAAATTTTGTAAAAAAACATAAAAATAATTAAAAAAAAAATGAAAAAAAAAATTAAAATTAAAAAAAAATAAATAAATAAAAACGAAAAAAAAAAAAAAAAAAATGAAAAAAAAAAAATAAAAAAATAAAAAATTGAATAAAAAGAAAATAAAAAGGCTGACAACGATGGTCCGCCTCGTGGCCCATCGTTGTCACGCGTTTTTATTTTTAGAAAATTTGCTTTTGCTTGGGACCAACGTTGTCAGGCATAAACCTACGCGCACAAATGTGTTCCCTGGGTTTCAAACTCACTACTGATTTTCTTGAGCAATATTCAATATGAAAATGTTCTATAAATTCTCCATGCTACAAGTTCAACAAGAAGTAATATATTTATAATAATGATAAGAGAATATAGAATTGAATACGAAAATTCGGAAAATTTGTTTTTACGTGTATAAGGTAATTTAATTGGAGAATGCGGCTTAACTACTCAGTTGTCTGGACACTCGCGATGCCGGTACCGTACCGTCTTACCAAATACCGGTAGTCGGTTATAGTCGCTTTGCGTCTGACCGTACCGGTAGCCATACAATCACTCATCATCTCCCATTCTTTCACGAGTGATTACATGGGTACCGGTACGGTCAGACGATACCGTACCGGCATCGCACGAGTGTCTGAGCAGTTAAGCAGCATTTTCCAATTAAATTACGGTACCTTCTACACGTAAAAACAAATTTTCGTATCCAATTCTATATTCTCTTATCCTTATTATAAATATATTGCTTGTGGTTGAACTTGTAGCATGGATAATTTGTAGAACATTTTCATGTTGAATTTATTGGATATTGGTCATGAAAATCAGTAGTGAGTTAGAAACCCAGGAAACACATTTGTGCGTGTAGGATTAAGTCTGACAACGTTGGTCCCAAGCAGCATCAAATTTTCTAAAAATAAAAACGCGTGACAACGATGGGCCACGAGGCGGACCATCGTTGTCAACCTTTTTATTTTCTTTTTATCCAATTTTTTTTTCAAATTTTTTTTTTTTTTTTTTAATTTTAATTTTTTTTTTAATTTTTTGTTTGTTTTATTTTTCAATTTTTTTTTTTAATTTAAATTTTTTTTTATTTTTATTTTTTCAATTATTTTCATGTTTTTCACAACTATTTTTTTATTTTCGCTTTTTCATTTTATTTTTTCATTTTTTTTTCAAATTTTACACGTGACAACGATGGGCCACCATACTGATGAATTGTAACGTCTGGGAAACTATTCTCAATACTATTGAACTAATGTAAGTTTGAAACGGTGTTTGTAACCAACATGTACAGCATTGGGTACTCCGAAGTATGTGAACCGACATGGCGGACATCGGAACGTAGTATGTGTACCAGATTAGGGTTAGGCCATACTTTCAGGTACAAATACTACGGGAGTCACTTGGCTAGTTCCCGAACTCGTAATAGAACTAGAGTAAAGAAAATGGGAATAAAATTATGACCTAACCTGGTACACATACTACGTTCCGGTGTCCGCCATCTTGGTTCACATACTACGGGAGTACCCCAACATGTACTGCATTGGCATAATTTAGTTTATATTCCCACCACCAAGCCATCACCACATGCTATCACGCGTCGGTCAGGTATTTTCCAAGCAAATCCCCGATTTCAACACGAATACAACACTATACACCAGTGGTTCTCTAACGGTGGCGTACACAATTTTTGAGGACATAAAATTATTTGTTAGTTTCGATCTTTCTCGCTCTCTTTTTCATTTCAAAATTTTGAAATGTAGGTAGAATACGATAAATCGAAAATATTCCAATAAATTTTAGTTCTTTTTAAGCACTAACATGACCAGGGCGGTTCTCCCGAAGTATGTGAACTAAGATGGCGGATACCGGAACGTAGTATGTGTACCAGATTAGAGTTAGGTCATAATTTAAAGTACAAATACTACGGGAGTCACTTGGCCAGTTCCCGAACTCGTAATAGAACTAAAATAATTAAAATTGGAATAAAATTATGACATAACCTGGTACACATACTACGTTCCGGTGTTCGCCATCTTGGTTACTTTGGGAGTATCCCGTGGGACCCGTTTTTAGCGACGTGTTGAAGAAGGATGTTTAACTGTATGTGGATTGTAATTGTAATGGCGTCATATCTCAACCAAGGGCATTGCTATACAACGTGATGTCACAAATCACGTCATCGGTATACAATCTCATTTACTACAGATCAATCGAAATGCAAACAGGTGATGCGTGTCATGACGTCATTATATCAATAAATCATACTATTTTATCAATAATACAATCTCACGATATCGCAATCAATTGAGATAATATTATTACATATGCAAGATTACGTCACAAGCTTATGATGTCACTCTTATTAAATAGAAATATTCACGCAAACAAACCTTGAGTATAATTTCAACTTCTTCCACCGATCCTAACGCCGGGTCTTCCAATAACTTCTTCATCAATTCAATCGCAAGTTGAACAGACTTTTCACTGTGTTCGTTTTTTTCGGAAATTTGTAAAGCGAGAGTCGAGAATGCAGTTGCTCGATCTATGAGACCTGGAAAGGAAGGAGCATTTATGGATATACAAACCAAATAGTCTTGCAAACGGAATACATTCTCAAGAAGTATTTTTATAGTATAGAATAGGAGGGGTGTGCAACCTGCGACCCGCGGGCCAAATGCAGAACATAAGGAAATATTGTGCAGCCCGCGAATATGTGCCACTTTGAATGATAGGTGGCCCTCGAAATGAGTTTTTAATTTAGTTTAACCTGGTAAGTGCGAGTAATTCTGATCCCTTTGCGTCGCAAAGCGTATACCCGAGTCCAAATTTATTATCTATGCCTATGACGTTACAATGCCCTAACAGCTAGCTTGTGAGTAGCGAACAACGCATGTCATAAGATCAACAACCAAAATTTCTGTGCATGCAACTACTAGAAAAGCTTGTATTAAATAAGGGCGCGTCCGGGGTTTCAGTTTGTATATTGCACTCTTGTGTTAAAGGTTGCACACCCCTGATATTAAATATCGAAAGGATTTTTGAGTTTGGTTAATTAAGTACATAATTTAATTTTAGTAATAACACATTACCTGCGTCGAATTTTGTTTCCACGTCATTTGCCCACGTGATACATTTCGACAAATCAGGACCTGCCACGTGCCATGCTGCTTCACGCATGGATGGTTCACGGACGCATTTCCATATAGCGAATTCTAAAATATAAAATATGGAGATATTTAGTAAAGTGCATGAAAGCAAGGATAATTGAATTAAAAAAATTCCAAGTGCCATTTTCACCCGAAAACTGAAATGCAATGTCATAATGAAGCTATATAGATTTGAAGGTGACCTTACATTTGAACCCATGTGTATATCCGCGGGTTCAATCTATATGCGGGTGCTAAAACCCATGGGGTAGGGTGAGTATGGGTTCAAATATCCGTAAAACAAAAAATAATTCCATAGGTGCAATAGTATGCAGGTGCAATTGTCAGGGGTTCAAATGTACGTGAGTTCAAATGTAATGGAATCAGATCTGTAGCACGAGGCGCATTGCAAATTTTCGCTTTCACTCATTAATGAAGGGGACTCATATCTGAGAAAACGACCATTGGAATGGCGAGATAAAGCATATTCATTCATGAGCAGAGTTGCAAATGTCCGCTTTCATTCAGAAGTAAAGAGACTCATTTCTAAATATACGATCATTAAAATTGCGAGTTGGTTAAGAAATAAAGTATAATCATTCGTCGCGAATGTTTTGAAAACATTGAAAACAAAAAACATAACAATTGAAATGATTTCACCGCTTGCTATTGTTTCCAGTTAATTCGGAATAATATTGATATTTTTTTCTCTTATAAGATGTGCGCATTTCACTCTTAACAAGGCACTTCACAAGCACCGCATGCCCACCCCCTCAGGGTGTATTAAGTTGAGCAAACAATACAAAACCAGTAAGACCTGAGTCGATTTAAACTGAAGTAGCATTTTCCGTAAATTCATAGGCAGAGTTACAGGAACCACTGAGATGCTGAGATCCACAGAAAATATATATAAAATTACGGTGCGCGCGTAATGTGCCAGCAAATACCTAATTAGAATGATGCATTTTCCGTATTGCTGAATTTTTACACCTATTCCTGAATCATTTCTAAGCAACGTTACGGCAAGCGCTGAAATGTTGAGAGAGCTAGTGAAAATACATTTACGGAGCATTTATACATTAAACTTTTTACGCCGGTTATCTTTGAAATCGCATGAGCCGCTGAAGCAATTTAGATTTATAGCAGCGCATGGTGCGTATTGCAAATTTTTGCTTTCACTTAGAAGTAAAGGGAACTCATTTCTTAGCAACGTCACGTACTGCAACTAAAATGGCAAGATCTGTGGGCACACACTAAGAAGGAAAGTATACTCATGCCCGATTTAAGTTAGCCACCACTAAAATGCGAAGAGCCAATATAAAGACTTATGGTGCGCGCCAGAAAACACAGAATGACGTTAAACCTGGAACAGTTCTAGGCATCACTATCAAGAAAAGAAGTTTCTACTGGAGATCCTAGTAAAAAAACTTGACAGCTTAAACATTTCTTCCCCTGAACCTAAGTAGAATGATTAAAGCAAAATTAGAGGGATTTTCTTTCGTGTTTACTGTTGCCGATTTCCGAACTTCAAAATGGACGGACTATTTTCGATATCGACTCAAAATGGCAACATGGCAGCTCAGAAGATTATATATTCATATCATACCCAATTTATTATGCTGATTTTTTGCAAACACGGACGAATGCATTTATAAATTAGATCGCAAGTCCGAAGTGACAAGGCTTTATTTAATTTGTTTCGGGAAATTTAATTATTTTTATGTAAGTCAAAGAATTCATCGAAAAAGTAGAATTTGGGGGAAAGATAAAATTAAGATTGGCTTTGATTTAAATTAGATTCGAATCGTGCTCGGCCGGATTTTTCGGATGGATTTATTAAATTCGACCGAACTTTTCGGACGAAATTGTCATTCTCAACAAGATTTTCGGACCAGTTTAGAAGTGCGCGACCAAATGGAACCCATTCGTATGTTCTGAGCTCATTCCCTTCTAATTGTGTGTATTCAATCAACCTTTATGAGATACTTAGCGTGCTCGCCAAGATTTTTTTTTATTTCATTTGTCTTTTCGACCGAACTTTTCGGACAAGATTATTGTTCGGACGGACATTCTCGACCAGATGTATATGTTCAATTGGACTTCAATTGGACCGATTTTTCATCATTTTCAGTGATGTATTCATCTGGATTTTTCGGGAATTTCTTTGAGTTCGACGGTAAAGTTTTGAAAAACACTTTGTTGGTTCAACCATACATATTTGTGTGTTCCTCCGGATCGGATTGATCTGGTAAATTCGACCAAAATGTTCGCATCAAATTTGGTGTGTGAACGCGGCTGAACAGTTCGGATTTGAGCATTCTACCAGCTTCAGAACATTTCGGACAGAGTCGAAATTTTGACTGGCACACACATAGAGATAATGATTTTATATAGAAGAAATTTACCTCGTGAATTTGATATAAAAGCCTATATCTGCCTCAGTGGAAAAATTTCCATACAGAAGAATAGGACGCAATAACTCATCATGTCATACGAGCAAAATATAATTCAGGTACGGCAGGAAAAATGCAACACTTCATTATGCCACTCTGGTAAAATTTCATAGACGAACAGTTAAACTTATATATGTACTTGGACCAAGAGCAGCGGAGGGAACACTTATTTATGACATTCTGAGCGTCGAGGAGCACTTTTCTATGACACTCGGCTAAAATTTATTAGACGATTAAACTTCTATCTCGCTGTTGAAATATACGTATTCAAAACATGAGCGAAAAAGTGAACACTTAATCAAGACATCCGTAACAACAAGGAACACTTCATCATGACATTCGGAGTATCTCTGGGTCTCAATTATATTTATTGTCAAAGTCATTCAATAATTAATGCGTAATTCGACACGGGAACTGCGTTTAGCTGTTCATACAAATTGACAGGCGGAGGGAAATGCAGACAGAAAATATTGTTTATAAGTAATTGAAAAGGTGTTTATTTCTATACTATATGTAGGCATGCCAAGCAGGAAAGGATCGCGAAAAAGCAATTCAATCTTAATCCGTGCCTGGGCACCGCAATAATTTGGCTGTTTAGTATAAAATAGGGTATTCCCGTTGTGTGTGTACCGGGTTAGGGTTAAGCCATAATTTTATTCCGACTTTTCTTAATTTAGTTCTATTACGAGTTCGGAAACTGTTTGTGCTAGCCAAGTGAATATACATACCCCCTGCCCATAGATTCAGTCCCTTTACACAACTTGATGCAAATTTCCTAGTTAGACATAATGCCCAGCGGGTCGTGTTTTCAAGAGTTTTGAAGTTCTAAAAAGCGCTACGAAATATTGCTATGTGTGATATAGAGAAATGCATATGTCAGGGCATGAACCAACAAAATTACAAGACTTGGAACAGCAATTAATTCATATAACATAACGTGGACTAAATTAACAATACAATGAACAAAACTGCGTGTGATGCCGGCATGTGCATACAAACAACGAAAAAACTATGCATGTACCGCTGTGCCATACATGAAAATCGGAAAACTGTTAAATATGGTTGAAATAAAGAAAATTGTAGAATTCATCTCAACATTTGGACAGAAAAAAAAATTACGCGATTCGGAATTTCCGTCCGAACCGATTCGAATAATTTACTGCTCTGATTACGACGCTACAGAAACGCTTTTATATTAAGTCGAAACGAAAAATTTTCAGTTCTGTACATTGTATGAAATTTTCATTGCAACTTACCACCTGTTCTTTCCTAAGCGGGCCATTTACAGATAATAGACGGATATTCAAAACTCAATATGAAACTATGAATGAAAAACAGTTTATTTACAAATAACAAGCGTCCATAAAAATTCGCCTGCATGCTTGTCTCCCCGATTTAATGCAATAGCCATTCACGATTCAGTATCTTCATCGACATTTTCAACGGAAATTTATATTCGTAAAACTTTAGTCGTAATTTCAACAAATACAAGTGGACCGGATGAAACACTTCGGTGTGCCGAATCCATGCCCACCTCTTTGCATATTTTGACGCTACAAAGACGCTTTTTTAATAAAGTTGAAACAAAAAAATATCTGTGTTGTATATTGTATAAAATTTTTGCTGAAACTCACCGCCGGATCCATCCGAGCAAGACATGATCGCTGTGTGCCCAATGTTCGTTTTAGGCCAATTGATATTCCCTCTTGTAGTCGGGAAGCAGAAGTCCACAAGTGGAAAGAAATCCTCTGTGAAATATAGTTTGATGTAAAATTTATGAATTGAAGAATACATAACGAAATTCATTGTGGCTAGATTCGGTTTGGTTTCGCGGGATATTATTTCAATACTGTTGTTGTTGTTTTGCGCAAAATGTTCTTTCCACAAACGGGTGAGCCCATGAAATTCGTCAAAATTGCGATAGTTGCTGGCATTTGCAAAATGTTACATGGCACATGCTACGTTCTGTTTTCTACATCGATCATATCGACGTTTAGTACAATTATCTGGATAAGGTCAGCTATTCTCATGCACGGATTAGACGGCAGATCAAACGAGTCAGTTTGCCCCACGATTAAAATTTTTCCGAAATAAAGATCAGATAATCCAAATTCTCAACTCCAAATTAATGACAGACGGTTGCGGCTTACCCAACTATTCAAGCCAATGCACTTGGAACCAGAATACCAGTTAAGGTCATGCTACCGGGACAAAACCCACCAGTTCCCAATATTCATTTAAGCCGTCTTATCAACTCCCCCCCCCCCTCAAGATGAACAGAAGAAAATAACTAAACAACGTATTTCATTCTATCTCCCCTTTTGCCCTTCTATACTCGGCAAAGGTACCATTTTTATTTCAACTGTTCAAACATGGAACATAATAAAATTGGTAGAAACTATTTGAAATGCTTCTTATTGAAGGAACAGCGAAGATGCAAGAAGAGTTTGTGGAAGTTTGAAAACCATTGATTTAGACCGTCTAATCAGCTTTCCTCTCCCCGCGAGGAAAATAGTAAACTAAACAAAACACTATATCTCACCATCTGGCTCTCCAACACTCGGTAACGGTTGTACTGGTACACTGGATACCAAAGTTGGTCTAGCATGCCTAGTTGTTGTAGTTCTGGTAGTTGGTTTCCTTTTAGGTGTCGTAAGGATCCTTGTGGTGTACGTGGATTTTGTTGTTTTAACACGTCCACCTGTGGATAGTAAATAAAACGTTAATATATTTAAGTGGGTGACTATAAGAAGGGTGTTAAGCTGAAATTCATGGACTTGAAGGTCGAATGTCACATAAAAGTTCTTCCGTTTGTTATAAAAAGTGTTCCCATATAAATGAAATAGAATGACAAAATTTCATGGTAAAATCTTGAAAATGAAATTTGAAAAAATGAAATTTCATCTTCCGTTTATTGAGGATATGAAATCAATTTTAGTATTATTTGCTGAAAAAATCGATTTTTTTGCAAGAACAACAATTTAAAGAAACCATCGGAGCTCGGAGCAGAGGTACTTGCTCTCACTCAGAGATAAAAGTGACCCAAAAGCTAGCAAAGTTACCTCCACCACTATGTCATAAGCTAAAGAAACACATACGCTTCAAGGATGAGAACAATTCAAATGGCAATTGGGACCCTATATTTATCCCTATTCCTAACTATAGATCGGTGGTATATTACGCTCCAACAAATGGAAACTGATGCGAGGCTTAAACAACAAAAAATTCCAAATTACGCACAATATCTAGCAATATAAACAAACATACCTCCGCCATTCTTATTCCCGTCGTCAAAATGTAGCCCATAGTAGACAGCATTGGCATTATTTTCATCCCACACGTATAAAAGTCTATCTCGAGGACTATAAGCTACAGAGGTAGCATTGTAACGAAGAAACGATCGACGGCCAGAATTGCTTCGATAATTATTCCCATACGCAAAATTAGGTGCCCGGACTGCGTCAAAGAGAACATTAATTCCGCGTTTTTCTTGTTTAAGTTCCGTGTTGTAGAAATAGTCTATTTGTCCAGTTGACGAACTAATAGAATATAGAACTCCGCATATGATAAAAGTGTGAAGAGATTCAGTTATTCGAAGATTCGTGTTCCAAGTTTCCTGAATAATAATAAAATGAAAATATATGTATGAAAATAATTTTTATGTAGTGTTTTACTAACAGAACAAAGCTCTGAATAAGTTTCTTTCTACGTTTCTTTGAAGCAACGGACGTGGCCAAAAATTTTCAAATGGGGGCGAGGGGGGTGTAATTGCCTAGTTAGACTGTAACAGCTAGCCCGGTGGCGTTTCAAGTTTTAACATTTTCCCACCCCAACCGTCACCACCGCCACCACCCTGGCTACTCTTCTGAGCAACGGTATCTTTCAGGTTAGGTGTTGTCTATTTAATTTGACACGTTTGAATGAGATACGCACAGCATTGGAAACTGACATGATTAACCCGTAATGATATGGTTTGAGGCGTGTTTATCCATTAAGCTTAAAATCAAACTTTGAAAAGATTGCTTTTAAGTTGTCAAATTTGAAGTGGAAAATTGAAGTAATTAATTAAGAAATTCGTGTTTTTATTTTGCTGCATTTAGCGTTTTTTTGCGTAGTTTCGAATCGATCTATTCGACGATATGGCGAGTTTAGGCAAAAACTATTTATTTACGAAAGAAAATATAAACAGTCGATACATTTTACTTTATGAACAAGTTCCGCTACCGACCGATATAGATCTCGCGACTGTAATACTGAATCTACATCCGTTTTACGGACAAGGCCTTTAATTATTCATTATCGGGGGACGGGATATAATCAAAGATCCGTATGACGTCAGATTTTGCTATACTACAGCAATGAAGCGCTTGCGATATGTAATACAAATTCGAAAAAAAGCAATTGAATAGCCCTTCGACGAAAAGTGAAAACAGCACAGATAGAAAAATTTGCAAGCAATATTTATACATGTGAGTTCGCCAAAGTTTTCACGGTTTTTCCCTGTTTTTGCAATGTTTTTGGGGGTTTTACACGATTTTTGCAAGTTTGCTAAAAGCAACTGAATATCACTTCGACTAAAAGTGGTTTTTTACGGTTTTCTGTACGTTTGCTAAAAGCAATCGCCCTTTGACTAACGTGGAAAGAACACTGATAGGAAAATTTGAAAACGATAAATATATGTGCAAAATTGCTCATAGCAAGCTAATAAATCAAATAGAAGTAGAAAGACTACTAAAGGAACACTACAAGCTAATCTGTTTGTTCCAAGTAAGCGGAACCTATATTGGCAATGGGGAGCCCAAGAAGTGTGTACTAATATGGATGTAACTAATTTTGTTCGCCAATTTACATTAAGTTGTGTAAAGGGACTGAAACCTATGGGCATGGGGTATATTCACTTGGCAAACACAGACAGTCCCCGAACTCGTAATAGAATAAAATTATGGCCTAATACTAATCTGGTACACATACTACGGGAGTACACAAGTTTGAGCCTAGACATCATGAGACGAAAAAAGCTGATTTTCACGTTTTTTTTATATATATTTCGCAAACCAATATTATATATGGATTAATCATGCACAATTTTAACGTAAGTGTCGAATACAACATGTTTCTTTTCAAATATGATCAATTTCGTGGATGGGTGATCATGATCATTCGAGCGTGAATTCTACTGTCACACATGATTAACCATGCATAAAAATTCAGTAAAACACGCAAGACATATGGCGATTCTAAGTGACTTAGGAATATTGGTACTCACTAACACAAGCAAATGTATTTCGGTAACGTTTCGTCCGACCAAGGTTGGGCGGGACCTCCTTTTAAAAATGTAAGAAAAAAGACGCTCCCAGAGGTATATGCACCAAGATGGCGCACAAGATGAACCCTAACCTTGTACACATAATATGTTCACGTTGTGCGCCATCTTGGTGCACATACTTCTGGGGGTCCAAAAAAATTGTATGACACATAGCAATTTTTGTTAAAACTTTTTTTTAAATCCACAAGTTTATTGAGCACCCACTTTTCCGGATTCTCCCTCCCCCTCCCTCTGGCTGCTTGTACACGGCCTTGTTTGAAAACAAAATAGAAACCTCCGGAAGTGTGCGCACCAAGATGGCGCACAACCTGAACTTAGGTTGTGTACCAGGTTAGGGTTCAGGTTGTGCGACATCTTGGTGCGCATACTTCAGGAGCACCCAAAATAGTATTAATGGATACGTCGTATTAAAAATCTAAATCCGCCAAAAGCTTACCGATATAGTTAGTTGGTCTTTATCAAGTTTACTGATAGTGATAAGGCCTCTTTGTCGTGGATAGATAACCCAGATTCCATTCTCATCTACTGATAAGGAGATATCCCGATTCTGAGGGATGCCAGATTCTGCCTGTATAACAGTTTCTTTTGTTCGTCGCTGAGTGATCAGACTGTATCGAATGATACTGCGGGAATTCGCCTAAAAAAATGACGATATTAGACCTCGACAAAATATTTTCCAAAATAAAATTACACTAGACAGGCAGTCTCCCCCCGTTGTGAGATATAACCAAAATAGCCGAGATAAACTTAACAACAGGAATTAAACGAAATTCTGAGGTGGGGTTTCCAATAGCGTTAATGTTCGGAACGGAATTCGGAATTTCGGGATTTTTGCTTAGCAAGTCGATTATGAGTATTCTTTATATCCGTAGGGTTGTTGGGTATTCCCCAAGATTACTGGAATTTGGGTGCTCCCGAAGTATGCGAATCAAGATGGCGGACATCGGAACGTAACATGGGTAACAGGTTAGGGTTAGGCGATAATTTTTTTCCAATTTTCCTTATTTTAGTCCTATTATCAGTTCGAAAACTAGCCAAGAGCCTCCCGTAGTATTCATACCCAAAATTATGGCCTAACCCTAACCTAGCACACATATTACATTCCGATGTCCGCCATCTTGGTTCGCATACTTCGGGAGCCCCGAAATATGCATCTCAAAATGCACGGTACAGTTGCGACAAGTTTTACATCGAGTGCAAATGGTACAGTTGGTACATAACATATAAAAATCACAAAAAGACACCCATCTTTTTACTTCAGCCTATATTACAGAATCCCGTCGTAAAATACAAAGTTATCTCAAAATGCTTTGTACCGCTTCTACGGTACAATCGCAAGTCGTGCAAATCGTGTAAGGGGTGTAAGCGGCACACGAGATTTTTGAATCACAACGTCGCTACTTCCTGATATAGACTTCTGAACGAATTGCACGACCGGTGCATTCAGGACAAGTGGCGCACGACATATTAAACATTCAAAAAACGTGGCAAACAAACTTATCTTTGCATAACATGTACAAGATGTCCATAAAATCCCCTAACATTTTCAATTTTGTTATGAAGTCAGCCCTCAATATAACTTAACCAGGTTTCTTGTTTTTCAATCAGCAATTGTTTAAGTTATTTTTCGTTTATTTAATACATCTGTGAGGGCCAAAACAATGTATGGTATCGATAAATTTCCTTTGCAATTTAAACAATTTTTTGAAACTTTATGGTTACCCTATATATCAACCATAAATGAAGATATTTCCCGATTCAAATTTTTGTAAAAATGGTACAGGCGGTACGGTACAAGTGGTGCACGACATATAAAATCATTCTTACCTTTACATAATATAAATTCCTGTCATACACGACAATATTTCCCAGAGCTGCTTTCGAAGGCAAATTATACCGATATGAGGGATTTCCCGTCAAAAAATCATCCCAATTCCGGTATTCCTGTATTATTTGTTGACTGGAAGACATGAAAAACACGTGATCTGGACTGGAAAGCGGATCTTTCGTCCAAGTTCCAGACTGAGGTTGAATTTCAACTGCGGTCACGATTTCGGATCCGATTCCAGTCAGAGATCCAGGACATCCAAACACTGGAAAATAAAAGTTTGTTTAACACGATTGGTTGGAATGAGATTTGAACCCGCGATCTCCAACTCAATACGTTTTGTTCGAAATATCTGATTAATCAGTGAACAAACCGGGATACCTGAAGGTTGTAAAAATTCCTCAATTTTAAAGCGATGGCCTTCTTTTATTAGAGAGAGTGTTGATTCGCGAGTTGGGTCAATATTTACACCATTTCAAATTTCTAATGACATTGGGCATTAACGGTTGTCACTATATATAAACAAAATACAATACATGAACAAAGATGGGCCACATTGTCTAGCAGAATGACGATAAAATTCACCTAATTTTACTTTTTTTACAGTGCACATTTACTGGTGATATGTCTTATATGACAGCAGTTTCTAATATTTTATGAATCGTGCATCTTCTCCGACGAGTTTTAGCCCCCATGCCCCCTCTCCTGTTTATAATGTTCATTTATCATTTCTTCAAGTATTTGGTCAATAATTCACCAAAGATGAGTTTCATTTATATTTGAGTAAGTGCGTGTGACTTTGTTTCGTGCAAATCTCTCATATTGAATGCATTTAAATTTATAGTATGCATTAAATGACTAAACCGACGAACCAATCAATGGCTCGATTTCAAGATTCAAATATTCAAATTAACCAATTAAATCACTTGAAATTTGCAATAAATCCAACCCTGCACAATTATCTAAATTATATTTAGACCAATCATGGCTCGGTAGATAAACATGTAGATACACATATTTGAATCACGCTTGGCCATGGATAACTACAGCTAGATAGCCATTGACGTCAACTTTTTAATTTTAAATTAAAAATCAATCAAGTGAAGTAAAAATCAATTTGGATGGAACACAATGTTGCACTTGCGAATACGAGGTAAAACTAAAGTAGCCAAAATGCAATTTTGGGAGCAATGCAGAATAAGTCGATTTGGTCTTGTCTTAACCAAATTCCAAAATAAAAATTCTTTTTTTCAATTGAGGTATTTATGATTTCCACTAATGCGCAACAATATCTGATATCGAGATATTACCGGTTAGGCACTGTCTAGCCAAAATATTACTCTTTGGATGAGGTTCTCAACAAGAGGGGGGGGGGGGGGGCAGGTTTGAGAGCAAAACGGAATAACTCGATTTGACTAACGATTTGGTTTCAACTTATTCTTCTATGCGTACGTATAAAATGCAAGAATGCTGTAGCACGAGTAAAGATAATTATACTAAGTGATTCAGGAGTCTTGCTTCACACTAACACAAATATATTTCTGACCTTGGTCAGACGAAACGTTACCGAAATATATTTGTGTTAATGTGCCGCGGGACTCTAGAATTGCTAAAGTTGCCAAAATGCTGTTTTTGGAAGCAATACTGAATGACTCGATTTGCTCTTGTTTGGGCTAATTCCAAAAGCAACGCTTTTTTTGCAATCAAGATGCTTAAGCTAAGCACTGACACAGAATAAGATACATTTTTCAGAAGGATCGTTAACTTTTTTTTCGGCATTATCCGATTCAATATTTCTTGAGTGATAATATCCATTTTGGGATACCTCGGTTTGAAATCGATGAGATATCCCGATTTATTGCTGTTTTCAAGATAACTCCAAACTAAATTCTTTTCAACTGATACAATAACTTTGCTTTAATTTATTTGCATTTTATTTTTATTTATTTCAGTGTTAATATTTACATATGTTTTTGAGGTCATAATTCCAGTGCTCCTATATACAGGGTGTCCCATAAATTCCTTTTACAATTTCAAATTGTTATGAAGTCAGTTATCTTGTTTTTTTTTAAATCAGTAACTGTATTTTTGATTCATTTTATATATCTGTGATGCCCAAAACAATATATGGTATCGATGAGTTTCCTTTGCAATTTTAAAAAATATTAAGACTTTATGGGTACCCTGCACATAAACCAACTCAAATATTTCAATGCTGTGTCAATTGTTCAAGAGGTTTTCTTAAAAACGACTTTGCCTCGTATGAAGGTTAAACTACACATGCCGAGACTTTGCCAAAAGTTCAGTTCATGAACTCGTAACGTGTCATTTTATTGTGCTTAACGATGTGTAATATATACTGACATGAAATCAATATATAGGCTACGTTAGACCGCGCTGTTGAAGAAGTTCTTAAAACCAAGGTCCCTCGATTTTAAATGTGAAGAATACTAAAGTTTACTCAAAGTAAGGCCTCGATACCTCCGTAGAAAGACTAAATTGATGAAAGAGCAAGTTTGCACATAGCAAGGCACCGACTTCTCGACTAAAAATGATCACTGATACGCCAAAAGTCACATTTGTATATGCAAGCTTCGCAAAAGCAATGTTTTGACGCCACAACTAGTAGGTGGAATAGAATAAAAGGGTTGACCCGATGTGAGCGAGATTTACACTAAAATCTCTTGTTCAGTTAACATTTCGTGAAAGGGAAACAGTAGAATAGCGACAAGCGGCCACTCATGAACCAAGTAAACATTTGTAGGCAAAACCTTTTCCTTCAAAAACTTCAAATTGAAGTAGTCCAAATTATTGAAATTGAAATCTTTAATAATTTCAATCAATATCAAATAATATATTTATTTGAAAATATGGCTTCAGTTACTTACTGTATTTCACACAGTTGAACGTTGTCTTTAAATACTTGTGTGTACCGGGACAAGGATCAGGAAAGTTGGCTGACGAAACTTGAAAGGAACATTGTGTCTGATTGTTGCATCTAAAAAACAAGATTGGATTACGTCAGTGGCGTATCTACGTAAAATGTCGCTCATAACAAGTATATGTATTGCAACACCACAAATACGCGAAATGGCAAAAGAAAAAACGGCGCTCCCGTAGTATGTGCACCAAAATAGCGGATACCAGAACGTAGTATCTGGGTTAGGGCATATTTTATCCCAATTTTCCTTAGTTTAGTTCTGTTATGAGTTCGGGGACTAGTCGAATGACTCCTGTAGTATTTATACCTGAAATTAAGGCCTAACCTTAACCTACGCGAATACGATTTTAGGTTCCAGCAGAGTATATTTCAGGGATTTTTCAAATGAGGTTTAAACCCGAAAATGGGTCGAGAAAAAGCTTATTTTCCCTACTTTTTTGACACAAACTAATGTTAAAACAAATTTTCATCAAATTCGGAAGATTTAGAACCAGTACTGAAACCAACATCACCGAAATAGAACCAAGATTTTATCTTTTGTGCGAAAATATGCAAGCACGTAGGTCAAATTAAAGGAATTGTCAATTCCATTATTTTTTATTATACTTTTTGCTAAAGTATTACTAAATTTTAATTTATTTTTATTTCAGTTACTGGGAGTCGCAAAATGTTGGCCGTGTCGAGTAGTTCGTGATGAAAAACGTTTAAAATACACTGATCTATTCCACAAAGAATGAGTAAAAATTTTCGCCATTACAAGCCCCAATACTGACGAATATTTTGAGTAAAAGTTCCGAACATATATAATTAAGCAAAAGACATCGTTTAAAAATTGCCCAAAATTACGTCATAATGATTTAATTCTTTTCAAACACGGCGTTCGTGCCGTAACCATAGCAACCATGTTCATATCAAAATTCAAATCTTAAAGGGAAACAAGCGCCGGTCAAGCGAAACAAAAATAATTTTGTATTTTAAGAAAAATGGACACCGCCGATGCGGTTTCAACTCATTAAAAGAAGAGACACGTTATCTTAACAGCCGATCTTTAAACATATGGGCTGGTTTGAAAGAAAGAAATATTTCAATTTGCCGACTGTTTGTCAGATTGTCAGACGGTGGGGTGGTCTGAAATAAAACTAATTGACATGTTTAACATCGAATATAAAAAAAATTGTTTGAAAAATGCAGCTATAAAAATAAGCACTATGGACTAGTATTTGAAGAATGAACTTTGATGGCATCGCTGGGTAAAATCACAGAATTCTGGTCGTACTAAAAAGTAGCTCCTCGCATATCGTAACATAAAAGAATTTGTACAAAGTTATGTTCTGAGAAAAATACTTTAAGAAGCATAACATAAAAAATTGACTCATTTCACAAATATTTAAAATTCAGAGTTAGCACCTCTTTTTTAAAAAAAAAAAAAACGCTAGAACGCTCCACATTGATGGTGTCAATCAAATTCAAAACTTTCTACGACAATTAAAAAACAATTAGTTTCAATGAGTGTTCCTTAAAGGTAACTGCAGAACGCTTGCATACGCTAGGTTATGTGGAAAAAACAAAGCGTACATATCGAAACCGCTAATTAATAAATAACCACAAAATTCCATTTACATTTCTAAATTTTTACATCCCAAATTCTTAACCCAAACCAAGAGTGAGGTCATTTCCAATGTTTTGGTCAAAAAGATAGCGAACGTGCCTAATTGAATGTTTTGGGCTGGGAGATGCAGCTGCGATAGTCATTTGTAATAATCAAAACATCAAGATACAAGTCCAACTTAGGGGGTTTCTGTCAATGAGTAATTGCATCTTTAAATGACGAACAAAAAGAAAAAGGCAGGGGGAATTGTATGTAACTATCTGCCAGGACCACGTTTCTATTCTTTAAGCCTTTGCACTAGTGGACCCGTTCAACGCAAGGATGCTTTACCAAGAATAAACATAATATTCTATGCAATTCAAGAGTCTTGCTGCGCACTAACACAAATATTCTAGGATGGGATTGAATACTCATTCGAAATACATTATTGACACTGAATATTTGAAGAAATGTTTACTGTTTGAAAACTCCTAAAATTGCTATTTAGCTGGGCAAACCGTATGCATATATTGCAAACACTTTATGTATATGTATTATCACAGTGTATATTTGGTATATTTTAAATAAACCGGTATATTAATCATACGTATCGGTACTGGTATCGAGACCCTTGCTGGCGTCCCCTTGCCTGACCCGCAAATATCCTTCTGTTTCTACTTTTGCCGCCGGTCAATCAACTTTGGAAACCATTGATATACAACAAGATTATTGTAACTAAAGTAAATATGATTGAAATATCCCTATAAATTCCTTTTGAAATTTCGTTTTCATTTTTTTAAACATGTTTCAGAAAAAAAGCAGAGACCTAACGCCATGCTTAAACTCGCATTTCTCCTTTTGCCAACAAGTCAACCTCAAATTTTTGAGCGCGCATAATATCTTCGAAGTTCAAATATTTTAACAACACCTGAAGCACTTAATTGCGTGCTCAGGCGGTCGGTCTCTATCATGCGGAACATTGGGGGATTAGTTTAATCGTATTACAGATTCTTAACTACACGATAAGTTGTTTTAGGGTTTTGTTTTATTGCCCACAGTTCAGATAATTTTGAACTTTATGAGCGGGAGAAATTTAGTTATACGATGTTGAAGGTCTGACCCTTTTGGAACGTAGAAAAAAGTATTTTTCTGTATTAAGCATAGTAATTATGCTGCTGTATTTATGCACGCATTATACACTATAAAAACTGCACGAAAGCTAGAGTGCGTATTACGAGCTAAGGAGGTGTTTCCCAACCTATGTGTCGCTACCCAAAATTGTGTCCTATATGAAAATTTTCGTGGGTCGCCCATTTTTCAACAAAATCCTAAAAGTTATTGTTTCTCTTTTCTAGTAAATTTTATTGTTTATTTCATTTTATATTTGAATTGAAGTGTTACAAAATAGTAATTGTATATGTGCATAAATAAAGCATATTTAATTATGAATGCCAACAGTCAAAACTCATTTTTGCATTTGTTCAAATTCCTAGGTCTTCAGAAAAATCAAAAGTTCACTGGCGAGCTCAGGACTAATCTTGGATCAGAACCCCACATTTACCCAGAATGAAGAGTGTGGCGACTTAAAAAAAAGTCTGGTTCTCCCTGAACAAACTTGCTCACTAAAAACAAGTGGCTTATTGTCTAAAGCCTAGTTCGAAGCAAATATGTGAAACACATATATAATTATTTATTCCTGAAAGTAGAGACAAAGCTTTTATACCCTCGAATAGGAGACATATGATGTACTCACAGATTTTCTACTATTTCTTTAGCTTCAGGAAGAAAGCATTTTGTGTTTCTCATTTTCCCACTGGACGTAATACAAGTGTCTGTGTTCTGGCGGCCATATTCTGCAGTGACAATCTGAATATATGAATAGGTATATGTTTTGCCATTGTGTATTAAAGTTTAATAAAGAAATTTAGAACCTCCTGAAGTATGCGCACCAAGATGGCGCACAACCTGAACTCAGGTTGTGTTCCAGGTTAGGGTTCAGGTTATGCGACATCTTTGTGCGCATACATCAGGAGCACCAAAATTTGCGTACTCCCGTAGTATATGAAACAAGATGGCGGACACCGCAAAGTAGTATGTATACCAGGTTAGGACTAATCAATCATTTCAGGTACAGAGTCACTTGGCAAATCCCCAAACTTATAAAAGAACTAAAATAAAGAAAATTGGAATAAAATTATGGCCTCACCCTAAGGCAGTAGGCAATTATAGGCGGCAATGTGTCAACCCCTCCACACTCGCTATATGTCTGTATTCATGATTCAGATAAAGTTTATAAAGTTTCAAAACGTTTCAAAAATGCAAAAGGAATCTATCGATACCATATATTGTTTTGGACTTCACAGATGTATTAAATGAACTAAAAATGCTTAACAATTACTGGTTAAAAACAACAAACTTGGTTAAGATATATCGAGAACTGACTTCATAACAAAATTGAAATTGCAAAGGGACTTTATGGACACCCTGTAATATGGAAGCTGCAGCCCCTCATAATATTTCTAATCGTTTCAAAGTGGTAAAATCTACGTGATAATGCACGTTACCACCGATGTACAACTCCAGACATAATTTTTGTTAAAACATATTTTTTCACAGCTAACAGTGACACCATCTGTTATAACGGCTGTGGATTCACCACAAGACAAAACCTCAATCTATCCGAAGCTTTTAAAAATTTCACGCCACGATAAATCCAATTTAGGTATGGTTTGTCGTTTATTCGAGTTGAAAAATATTTTGAAATTCTCAACGCGGACAATTTTGCTGACATTTCACACATATACACAACTTGTGACATCATAAGAACTTATGCGGTTATCAAGGATAAGAGTTATTCGCAATTACAAAAACTCAAAAAAATCGAAGTTGAAATTTTATAATAAAATTACTAGAATGACGTCACACACAAGTGGAAGTCGAACCAATGACGTCATACGTTTTTTACTGTGGTTACGTCAAGTATAAATAAACATGAAATCAGTGACGTCATCGAAATTATTCAAAATGTAATTTTGCAATCATAAAATCTGAAAATTTGAACCTTTGTTCCTACCTGTATGACGTCACTTCCGGGGCATCCGAGTGCTATTGGGTACAGGTCGCATCCAATTTCCGTTTTTATAGGAAAGTCATTTCCCCAGTCGAAAGCTAAAAATAAAGAATAAAATTATAGAAATACTATTCTCAAATAATTGTTTCACGATTTGGGTCAGTTTAGCGATTTTCATAAATTTTCCACGGTTTCAGATTGTTTTTGAAAGTTTTTGCGAGATTTTTAGTCTTTTTTTGTTACAGGCGTCAGTGATATCAGCTGATAACGACTGGCACTGAATATAATTAGCTTGGCCTATGAAACCAGACAATGTAGTCTCGTTACATATGGAGTCATTTATCAAGTAACGTAATATAATAAGCAATAAAATTATCGTTCGAAACGTTCCCACGGCCTGTAGGTTATTAATATTACATTAGTCATATTCGGTTAAATTTGTAACACTGAATTATGATTTTACTGGTGTAGGCCGTGAGTGGAGCTGAGCATTTTGGAATACCTGACGATTTAAGAATCGAATATAATATTTTTTTCGACTTGAGAAGAATATCGAATACTTTTGTTCGAATGCGACTTAATTTTTTTGTAATGAACTGGCCTGAATTTTGAAAATGATTTTAATATAAGCCCTTTCATTTTTAAATAATACCTTGTTGATAGCGCAAATTTTTCCTTGACCTATTCGATAGCAAAAAATATCCCTACACAATTTAAATGATTGGTAATTTTTAAATAATCCTTGTTTAGCAGATTTAGCAGATTATTAAAATAAAAACATGTTATTCATAAGTAAATGAATTTCTTCTTGCCTCATTCGTACAAATTCTTCTTGCATTTTCATCAAATCAAAACCCATTATTAAATGCACTCGACCCGTTACTTTTACTATACGACAGCCAATTTAACGCTTGGTGATGTAAAATATTATTGAACTAAAATGGCAAAATGTATAATGATAGGATTGTCCATATAATATGAGATCGGAGAACAACTGTCTCTCATTTTCAAGTCTCATGGACACGCATCAGTTTGAAACATTGCTACTTAAATGACATCACGCACAGGTGGAAGTCGATTCGATGGCTACTGTGATGACGTCACGTACAAATATATAAGGAATGAGTGACGTCATCAAAAATTTCTAAAGGTAATTTAGAAACCATAAACAGTAAAAATGTTGCATGATAAATGATATTACGTTCTCACTACAGATAAGTAGTAAGTGTGTAGATATGCAAATTTGAAGCAATAAATTTTAGACATTCACTCAATACATTCCCTGCCCAGGCAAATATTAAAATTAAATCACAATTTCTAATTAAGGTTAAAGGTAAGCCTTTTCCCGCCAACATTATAGGTATTCGAAGAAGTGAAAATATAAAAAAAAATGTAGTGAATAAAATTTGTGAAATTTACTAAAATGGGAATGGGAGAATACTGGCCAAGGTAATAATAGTAATGAATGTAATATACAATTCTCTTCAATCGTTTAAAATATAGAGAAGTGGTTTTAAACATTTGCGAGCCCCTATGTTACCATGAGAGCCTTCGTCGAACCTAGGAAAAGCTCCATCAAACCCCAAAGGTTGCTTGCAGAACCATATTTACCCTGGTAGCCTTCGCCGAACTCAGGAACAGCTCCATTGACCCTTAGGGGTTGCCTGCCGAACCCATAGGTTACTCCGGGATCCTCAGCCAAACCCCGGAACCTACCAGGAAACACTAATATATAAAAAAGTATAGTCAAATTCCTAATAATTTACTCACATTTCCCGCCTGCCGAGGCGAATATTAAAATTGAATTATAATTTCAAATTAAGGTCAGACGATTGACCCTATATATTACAAAGCTATGCGGGATGCTTTTGATATTCTAAAATTGGCATACGGAGAATTGATGAGAATTTAAAGATATGTATATGATATTTTAACGAGTGTTAGAAATAAATGAAAAACGGACGTCGTGAAGTATGCGCACCAAGATGGCGCACAACCTGAACTCTGTTGTGTAACAGGTTAGGGTTCATTCAGGTTATGCAACATCTTGGTGCGCATACTTCCGGAGTACCTAATAAACATTTGAAGAACCCGGACGGGTGTCAGGGTGAGAAAGCACTGGAAATAACAAGGTATTCCCAATTTTTTTTCATAATTTGGCATTCGGGTCATAGCCGGGCAGTTTAAAAAAGGAAGGTCTTGAATTTCTAATTGCCAAGTTAGATCATGACATCTAGCGGGTTTTGACTCTCAACTTCCCCATGTTTATGTATTCTGCCGAAAAACAATTTAGTACATGTAACGCTCACTTTCATTTTAGTAATTGAAAACGCGAATTACAGAGAATTACAATAGAGCGAAATAACATCAATGATTATTTAAGCAATTTTTAAATACATACAATAACTACTTCACAGAAATGAATTTCAACAACGGAATGTCAAATCCCGAATGGAAATTGATTTAATAAATTTGGAGATTTCTTTGTTAATTCAAAATCCGGTTCCAAATCAGTAAATCACTCTTAAACGGTCGAACCATTATTTATTTAAACCATTATTTTTGATGACTGTCTGGGCGCATGCTGGGCTTTTCAAAAACCGATTCCATTTGTCATCCAAAAATAGGTCAAACAAACAGAAGGCATTATGAATATTTACCTATAAGTGGGTAAACATAACAAGACGAGCAAAAGTGTCTACAATTCAAAATTCGAATTTCGGGCATAAATCTAAAACAATTTTTTTAACAAATGATACGTCATTTGAAAGTGAACCAATTTACGTAGTTTTACGTGACTTGATGTACGAATTTACGAATATCATGATAAGCTATACTTGGAATTAATCGCGTAGAAATCGCTCAACAAAATAACATAGTTACGATGTATAATAAGTCATATAATAAAATAATATCGTTTTAATAGCTATTACATTTCAATTGAAACGTTTTAAAGAGCTAAAATATGTATAGTCAAATATGTCAAGTCCGTGCTTTCGAGAACAACTGTCTGCCAACTAGTCCCATACCAGACCTGAACTGGTAAACGGACGAGAAGACGTCCGTTCGCCACATGACCAAGTCGTCTTATCGGCTTTTCTCTCCCCTTGGATAAATATGTAAACCCCATTCTGTAAATCTTATAAACTCCAGTATAAAGCGTTTCAATATACAAAAAATTGGTGTGTATGATATAAATGAATGCCCTTTTTCAAGTAGAAAAAAAGAAAAAAAAACTCGACCATGGAGGTTACGGCCATGTATGCGACAACAAAGAGAAAAAAGTATTGCCTTGATCCATATAGAATCGCAAACGAAATAAAGCGATTTGGTGACTGAGACCATAATTAGATGATATTGTCTGGTTCACAAAGCTTTAGACCGGGGGTGTGAAATCTTTAACACACGAGGGCAAGATACAAATAACTAGATGAAGTCGCGGGCCTCATCTAGTCCGTAACAATTTCGTATTGGCAATGATTTCAATAGCCAAATTGAATTCACGTTAGCGCTAATACCTCAAGCCTATTCAAGCAATTTTTAGGAATGAATTCGCACGATAAAATAACATATTTACGATGTATAACTAGCCATAACGCTTTAAACGCTATAAATATATTACATTCAAATAAAAACGTTAATATGAGCTAAAATAGATATACAAATATAGGATGTCTACTTGACGATTGGGAGTAAATACAAGCATATGACAAAATAATTACAGAAATACATTTGAGTTAGAGCGTAGCAATACTTTCTTTCAAATAACATTAGACAATCTCTTCGGTAACAATTCCAAAATGAAAATGGAATTAATAGCCAAACTGAATTCACGTTAGCGCTAATACCTGAAGCATACTCTCCGCAATATTTTGAAATAAAATCGCACGACAAAATAACATATTTACGATGTATACCAAGTCATATAAGCAAATATTAACGCTTTATTGGCTGTGACTCATTTTATGCTCGAATTAAACTGTAATTTATCAAAAATGTATACGTGGTCATCCTTGATCCATTGGTCGCAACGGTCATTAAGATACAAACAGTGAAAACCCGTGAAAACCACCAAAAACCTTTCAAAACGTTTAAAAACAGTGAAACTGTGGTTCAGCTGCGGCCCATGTGTAGTACGAATGAGACGAAAATAAATCGTATGGGAAAATTTGTTCGTCTAGAAAAGGTTATTATACAAATATTTAAATAAGTCGGAAAATGTCTTTTTATGGTTTTGGATAATTGACGATAGTACATAAGACCTAATTACATATTGGTATTAATCTCTCGCTATTTATAAAAGGTTTATTTCACGAAACTGATATCTGACTAATGTGAGGAGCTATTCTTATTAGTAGGGGGGTATTCCTATGATCAAACCCTGGGGTGGATTTCGAAATTGAAGATTGGGGCTGGCCACAAATTAAATCAACCAATCAACAATTACGCCAATGATTTCTCTACACCCCCTCTATAGGGCGTGAACAGTCCCCTAAAATTTTTAACACCCCCCAATTTTGCGACATGACGCCACACTTAATTAATAAAATTCTTAGCGTAAATAAAACTATATTCGAATACTCGGAAAGTAGCGGCTTATATGCCGGTGATCATTAAAATACAATCTCCTTTTTACCTTGTCCCCTAAAATGAAGAGATGGGGGACATACTGGGTTACATCAACCACCCTACGAAAAATAGAAATCCAGCACTCCTCCTAAACCGGAGGTGTGAAGCCAACTCATGATACTCAGAGGTAGATGTTTTACGTACATTTCATGAATGCATAATTACTATATACAATGCTGATTGAAAATTCAGCATTGACGTCCCGAAAGAATTTATTTTTTGACACATTGGACACAATTAATTTTCAATAGCGGAAGACTTTGTTTACTTCCGCAACATGGACTAATCAGCAAAATATACAAAAAGTGACGTATTAAACAAAATTTTTGCAGAAGCCCCGACACTTTTGTCTCTCAAACAGATTTTCAGGCATCGTTGTTAATATAACCTCGTTTTCGCGGTTTGCGTACTATTTGTCAATTTTGAATTGTGTTTCCGGATTCCATAATTTAATAATCATTTTTTGAGT